AAATCCAATCTCTTGACCGTCATAAAGTGCTTTATATAACTTCATAACACTGAACTCAGAGTCTTTGTCAAATTTCCTTGCGGAACCATTAAACCTTTATCTTCATCATAGAAAACACTGAACAGAGTCAGGAAACATTTCATTAGCGGTTAATGCAATAACATCTTGCTTCACGCCTTTCATTCTGCAGTGAAATGCAACTTCATTTAAATCATTCGTGAGTAAGTCTATGTAAGTCTTCTTTCCACAAAATATTGACTTGTATGCTAAACTTTGTTTTCCAGGTGTTATTTCTGCGAAGTCACTATGAAACTGACCAAGGTTTTTACCAATGAGAACTCTTCCATAACGTTTCTCAAACTCTTCAGCTAAACGAGGGATATCTTCATTGTAGAGATGCATACTGTCGGTATCGCTATAAAAGATGTCCATTCCTAAGTCCTCAGCAGTACAGAATACTTCACACATTATTCTCTTCGACATAGATAGAATATTAACACCAAGTGGACAGAAGTTAAAGTGTCTGCAAATGCTTTTCGTTAGCTTGAAAATAGTTTTATCTGAACCATCCAAACCTTCGAACTTCACTATATGGTTGTAGTTTCTGATGGCATATCTTATAGCATCTTTGTCATTTACTATGGTTATTTTTGACTCAATAGGAGATAGAATAGTTTTGCCATAAATACTGTTCAGAATGAGCTTTATATTTTCTTGCAAAGGATTTCCTTCTTTCTTATACTTTAACCTTAACTCAAACAACTTCTTTACTTCATCTCTTATTCTAATATCTCTGTTTCCATCGTAATAGTATCCTTGCAACACTTCACATTTGACACCTTGATATTTTATGAGGTCTTGTAATGTTATATGGTCAACATACATTAAACAGCAAGTGTTTGAACTTCTGGGAACGTTAAGTTCTGGATTTAGTTCAGGGTCACAAACTATTAAAGGAAAGTGTCTATGTATTCCAATCTCTGTTATCTTAATGAGAACAAAGAAGCCAGACATAAACTTTTCACCAATGGGTTCCTTTTGGTCATCATCGAATAAATGTCTCATGAGATACTCTGTGCTTAACATTTCTTTCTTCATAACCTTTGGAATACCTTCTAAAGTATACAATCTTGCAATTGCTGATGGATATAATGAAACAGCGTCGAAGTCAGCAATGAGTTTCTTTTCGCTCTTTTGTTTCATGTTATCTGACAGCATACATCTTCCACCTTGAATACAGCGTGAAATAAATTCTCTTGGTTTATTTGAGAGGTCATATAAATTTCCATTCGGGAAGTACACTCTGTTCTCAAACAATTTGTTAGCAATAGAACAAATACTAACGTAGTCATATACGTTTAAATCAAATTCTTTCAATATGTCATTGCGGAACTTTACAAAACCTTCTCTTAAAATTCTTACATCTTGTTTGCAATAAAATGAGCTATATTTTTCTAAATCGAAATGGTTTTCATCTATTCTGCAACCTTTGATGGAATCTATGTTCTTCATGAACGTATCTGCATCCTTGACAAACTTACAAGCTTTAGAAATGACACCAGTTCTGTTGTCATTTGCTAACAAAGTACTGCTGTAGTAGTTATATGGAAATACTTCTTTCGGTCCTGTTTGTAAGTTAAACATAGCAGGAAATAGTTTAAGTTTCTTATTTATAACACTGTAAGAGTCTTTTATAATAATTGCCCTTCCTTTATATAAGCCAGTTATTTGCATTGTTCGTGAACCTTTAATGATGGGAGTTCCTTTCACTTCTGTCATGTGTCTTAAGATGAAGTTTATATCATAACTGAGGTTATGGAAATATATTAAACTCTTGTCAGGAAGTCGTTCCAAAAATTCTGTTGCACAGTTCTGACCCCAAATGCTTTCACTCACTGAACCATCTTCACTGTCATAACAGATGTTAAAAGCTTTATGAAAGCCATCGGTACTACACTCAAAGTCAGCAAAGAAAACGTGCTCAGGAATGAACTTGCACTTATTTTTATTTACTTCTTTTGACTCTGCTTTCTTCTTCAGTTGTACACAATACTTTGGAGCATATGTCAAATCTTTAAATGGTGCAAGGTTCTGTTTATATAAGTCAGTCGTATATGTGAAAAGTTCTCCATAAGAAATAGGTTCGAAATATTTGCACTCCCACAATGTTTTCATAACATCCCATAGCGGTGTAGTTCTATCATAACGAACTACATATTTGTTCTCTCTCTTTGTATATATTTTCATCTGTTTTTCAATGTTCATTCCACCACACTCCTTCAAGATTTCTTTATAGTTTCGAATGAAATATGTTGTCATTGGTAATCTTTCATTTAGCATGTAGTGGTCTTCAACAAGAAGTAAGTCAATAGTTCGAACAGTTTTACATTCTTTTGGTATGTATCTCTTTATTTCATTATGTCTTGAGTCATTGAAGTAACCAATGGTAACATTAAATGCTATACCTGTTGCGTCAGAAATTTCTTGTACTTTACTTTGAGGAAAGTCTCTAACACGAATGACTTCTCTCATGTGGTCAATAGTCTCTCCATTTACTCCAGCCTGAATGCAAGCATAAACGAAGCAGTTATCTTCTGTCATAAGTGTTGCAGTTCTTTTGTTCAGTTCATTGAAGATTTGGTAGCGTTCAAGATTTATAGGTAATGTGCAAAGATACTTCCAGAACTGACCGCTTCTCTTCTTATAAAACTTCTTTTCACCATTATCTTTCCAAAAGCTTTCTATAAGTGCTGGGTTTCCTGTTTGCTTAAGAGCTTCCAAAATGGCTTTCTGGTCATTTGTCAGTGTGCTTTCATCTCTATATGGTCTCTTTTTTGGTTTGCCTTTCTTTACATCTGACATCGTTAAGCCTTCATATTCTGTTAAATCATACATCTTTATTTCGGTAAGATTCTTTATGTTTGTCAAGAAGAAGTCATAGTGCATTTCAACAATACCTGCAGCATTTGCTTCTATCTCTGATATAAAGTTCTCCTTCAAGAGCTGATGTAGTAGTGTTCCAATATTATTGAGGTTTAACGTAGAACATTCATACTTTCCACCAAGTTTATAACATACCATCCATCTTTGTTGTGAGTTTATTTTAATCTTCTCTAAGAGTCTCATGAAAACCTTACCGAAATGTTTGTGTAAGTAGTCTCTGTTTGGTTCATCTAAAGCTTCGATGTTAAAGTCAATGAGTCTATTGCCTGACTTCACATTTCTCTTCCTATTCTCTTCATCTTTCTTTAACCATCTCTCACCTTCTTTTGGTTTGTCGTCAATGGAACGAATGACATCGTTAGCTTTGCGAACTTGTTCTATAGCACTTTTAAACATCTCTCTTCTCTGTTGTTTCAGTGTGTCGTCTCTTCTTCTTGTTTCACCAGAGTGTGGTAGAATTTACGAAAAAGTGACAGTAGAAAAAGTGACACTTAACCTTAAATTTCCAAACACTATTTTTTGATTATATTTTGTTATTTATATATTTATATATATATGTATATTTATATATGTATATATTTATATATGTATATATTTATATATGTATATATTTATATATGTATATATTTATATATGTATATATTTATATATGTATATATTTATATATGTATATATTTATATATGTATATATTTATATATGTATATATTTATATATGTATATATTTATATATGTATATATTTATATATGTATATATTTATATATGTATATATTTATTAGAAACTGCTTCATGCTGCATTGAGTATTGTTGAATAATTTGAAGTAGTGGTTTTTGAAATCAGCACCCCTATGAGAGCGCTGGCGACCGAAACACCACTAGTAAGATTGTGTATTAGAAACTGCTTCATGCTGTTTTGAGTAAGCTTCGATGTCTTTGTAGGATAGCTTTCTGAGAGCGAAACAAGATAGTGTTGAAAAAAAAATTTGAAAATCTGAGAGACTGTGCAAGAGCCAACGACCAAAACGCTACCAGTAAGATACAGCAGTAGTAGCTGCTTCATGCTGCATTGAGTATTGTTGAATAATTTGAAGTAGTGGTTTTTGAAATCAGCACCCCTATGAGAGCGCTGGCGACCGAAACACCACTAGTAAGATTGTGTATTAGAAACTGCTTCATGCTGTGTTGAGTAAGCTTCGATGTCTTTGTAGGATAGCTTTCTGAGAGCGAAACAAGATAGTGTTGAAAAAAAAATTTGAAAATCTGAGAGACTGTGCAAGAGCCAACGACCAAAACGCTACCAGTAAGATACAGCAGTAGTAGCTGCTTCATGCTGCATTGAGTATTGTTGAATAATTTGAAGTAGTGGTTTTTGAAATCAGCACCCCTATGAGAGCGCTGGCGACCGAAACACCACTAGTAAGATTGTGTATTAGAAACTGCTTCATGCTGTGTTGAGTAAGCTTCGATGTCTTTGTAGGATAGCTTTCTGAGAGCGAAACAAGATAGTGTTGAAAAAAAAATTTGAAAATCTGAGAGACTGTGCAAGAGCCAACGACCAAAACGCTACCAGTAAGATACAGCAGTAGTAGCTGCTTCATGCTGCATTGAGTATTGTTGAATAATTTGAAGTAGTGGTTTTTGAAATCAGCACCCCTATGAGAGCGCTGGCGACCGAAACACCACTAGTAAGATTGTGTATTAGAAACTGCTTCATGCTGTGTTGAGTAAGCTTCGATGTCTTTGTAGGATAGCTTTCTGAGAGCGAAACAAGATAGTGTTGAAAAAAAAATTTGAAAATCTGAGAGACTGTGCAAGAGCCAACGACCAAAACGCTACCAGTAAGATACAGCAGTAGTAGCTGCTTCATGCTGCATTGAGTATTGTTGAATAATTTGAAGTAGTGGTTTTTGAAATCAGCACCCCTATGAGAGCGCTGGCGACCGAAACACCACTAGTAAGATTGTGTATTAGAAACTGCTTCATGCTGTGTTGAGTAAGCTTCGATATCTTTATCAGACCACCTTTAAATTAACCACTCACATTCTCACTGTGGTCCATCTAAAATTTGTAAGCTTTATGACATAAAATTATATTATATGCAGGATCCCACCTATTTCTTAATCTTTTTGGAATAAATGTTTTATAATATTTATCGATTGATTGTAATTTTTTGTATAAAAAAAGTTTTTTATTTATATTAAAAATATATTTTGTTAATGATATTATCTTATAATTTGTAAATAAATCTAGTAATAAAATAACTTTAATAGTTGGTGTCACTTTTTCGAAAATTCTGGTTTTTTCATCGTTAGCTTTGCGAACTTGTTCTATAGCACTTTTAAACATCTCTCTTCTCTGTTGTTTCAGTGTGTCGTCTCTTCTTCTTGTTTCACCAACGTTTGCATTTGTTATGTCAAACATCTCTTGACGAACATCATGCGAAAGAGCTTTACGAGTATGACCAACGTTTGCATTTGTTATGTCAAACATCTCACGCCTTACTTCATGAGGTATTGAACGTCTATGATATAAGTCAATAGCAACGTCATTTAAAGGAAATGTTTTGTTATTAATGTAATCATGAATTCTATCATAACTTATTGCACCATTATAGTCTTTAATGAAGTCAGCGAGTGCTTTTTTGTTTGTTGCGTAATGCTTTGCAACATCTATGTTAGCTTCTGTAAGATGTTGTTTTATTTCCGAGTGTTCTAACTTAGACAACTTCCGATACATCTTTAGTAGGAAATAAAAAAAATATTTTTGAAAAAATTAGATTAGATTTTTTTTAAGTTATTTTTCAAAATAATTTAATATTTTTATTATAATGAAACACATGCAAGATTGCAAGTTCTTTTCATACAATGCTCTCGCTAATGCCATCAAGAATGAGTTCAATGGTGCTTCAAACGTTAATGTTATCTTTAACAAGAAGTTTGTGAAAGAATCTAAGTTTGGTCAGTATGTCAGACCATTAGCTATCGTCATTGACCGCAAACGTTATACTTCACAAGAGTTAGCAGTAGTTTTGAAACAAAAGAGTTTCTTCGTGAATGTCAAAGATACTCATTATACTGTCATAAAGAACTCTAACATTGACTTCTTCAGTATTGCTATGAATCTTTCCGAACAGAAAGAATATAAGAAGGGTGAAACAAATGTGAAATATTATCCTTCATCTCTGAAGACAATAACGAACAAAGATGTCATACAAAAGTTCTTACCAAAGGTTGAAGAAGCTTCAATTGACATTGACGAAGGAAGTGAAATGGTTGAAGAAATAGACCCTGAAGCTATTTAAGCAAAAATATATTTTTGGTTAGTCTTCATATCGATATTTTACAACAATTCCCCAATGTATAAACTTTTCATACGCTTTTTCATAAGCTTTATATACCTTCAGAAATTTTGCATAATCTTTAGAAGCATTTAGATATTGTTTAAATGCTTTGTATGTTTTCAGAAATTTTGCATAATCTTTTACATGTTGTTCGTTCTCTTCTTCTGTCATGAGTTCCGAATATTCTAAATTCATGTTCTTTCATATGAGATAAAATTTTATAAAAAAAATAAAATTAGCTTAGATTTTCATTCTTCCTCTTTGAAGTTATCGAAATACTCTGTTATTTTTTCCTTCAGTAATGGTAAGTCTTCTTTGAATGTAAGTATTGTGCAACCTTTGATGTCATAGTGTGTTTGAGGAAGAGTATTTTTGACAATTTCCTTTATTTGCTCATTCGGTGTCATTGAAATCGGTAAGTTTTCACGATAGAACCAGTTTCTGTCAGATTTGTAAATCTTAGCAAGGTCATAAAAGCTTTTGTTGTTTCTTCTGACTAAATGCAACATAACCATATCTCTGTCTTCTTCATTTTCCATCTCTTCAGTATAAATCATATACTTATAGTTCTTTTCCTTTCCTTTTGGTACTGAACGTGGTATTCTTTTCTGAATGCTTTTGTCTTTTGATTCAAGCTTGTTTTCCATCTCTTCACGTTCTGCTTTATATAGTTCATCTAACATCATGAAAATATAACAAGCATAACGAGGTGAAGCCCACATTGCTACGGCATTTACTAAAAGTCTATGAACATAATATCCTCTCAAACCAGGAGCCAAATTTTTACGATTTTCGTACGGAATCTCTACCCTCGGTTTTCCGAGGGTAGCAAACATATGAGGAAATTCTTCTAAAAGTTCTTTTGTCTGTTGGTTTTCAAACCAATGATATGCTTGCTTTGTAGAACGAAGAGCGTTCAAAATACTTTGCATTTGGTACATATCGTCTTTGACCGAACGAATGAGACGTAACTGTTTGTTATACTGTATGTACTCGTATTCTTCATTTATTGCTTCATGGACTATAACTGTTGTTGTGTTCTCTGTTGTTGTCATTACTGTCTTTACATACAAAATAAAAAAATAAATAAAAATAAAATTAGCGTTATTTTTTCTGAGATAAACACTATTTCTTCACAACATTAAATTTTATCCTGTATGAAATGACTTTAAAAAGATTATTGACTGACTTCGAATACTATCTCATTGACGCACTGACAGACCCTCAAAACTGTGTTGAAAGTTCTTTAAGCTTTAAGATTGAAGGTACGACGCATTTTGTCTTCACTTACGTATTGAAAGAATATGACCGTTATCATAACGAAGTGAATCAAACACTAATAAAATTTGTAGATAAAAAATTGGTTAACAATGAATATTTTAAACGTGAAGACCCAAACACTGCTGGAGATGATGAAGAATACAGACAAGCTATTGAAAAAAATAACGCAAGATTAGATGCAATAGAAAAGAATTTTAATGAATGTCTTACAAACACGTATGAATATCTTATGCGGTGGGAAGCTAGATGGAAATAAATTTACGTCAAATATGCAATTTATAAAATCTTATGTCGACAGGCTACGTAGCACAGTGGTCTAAGGTGGTGTTATGGTGTTATGGAGGGGTCAGGGTCTGTGGTTCGAACCGCGACAGCGCCGTATTTTCTTATTTTCTTTGTTTGTCTTGTTTGTCGTGAATAAAAAGTGTCATAAAAGTGCTCTATTTTCCACGGGAATAAATAAAAAATTTACTTTATTTCTTCTTTATTTCTTCTTTATTTCTTTGTTCCCGTGGAAGAAGGGTTTTGCTGTTTTTTCTGTTTTTTCTCAGCCGAAATCAATGATTTTTTCATTTTTGGAATCCTTAGCGAATGAGGAATCTTTTCTCTCGTGGAAGCTTTGAACAAAAATATAATTTAGGTGAAGAGGTGAGATCTCACCTGTTTTTTCACCTGTTTTTTCACCCTCATGACTTTGTCATAACTTCTTCGTAAATGCTTTGTCATAACTTCTTCGTAAATGCCTTGTCATAACTTCTTCGTAAATGCCTTGTCAAGATTTCACCCTCATGACTTGTCATAACTTCTTCGTAAATGCTTTGTCATAACTTCTTCGTAAATGCCTTGTCATAACTTCTTCGTAAATGCCTTGTCAAGATTTCACCCTCATGACTTGTCATAACTTCTTCGTAAATGCTTTGTCATAACTTCTTCGTAAATGCCTTGTCATAACTTCTTCGTAAATGCCTTGTCAAGATTTCACCCTCATGACTTGTCATAACTTCTTCGTAAATGAGTGTGAATGACCAAAAATATAATTGAGGTGAAGAGGTGAGATCTCACCTGTTTTTTCACCTAATTTTTCACCTCTTTTTTCACAAGCGTTTTACATGAATTGTACGATGTATATTTGAAATCTTAAACAGTTTCGTAGCTTCTATTTCTTCGCTGAGGATATCAAAAGTTTTAACGATACCGAAAGTTTCTTTATACTTCTTCTTGACGTCAGACAGAAGGAAATCGTCAGCAGTTGGATAGTTTTTGTTCAGAAATTCTAACATGTCCATTTTATCTTCTGCTGGCTTTTCTGCTTCTTTCTTTAAGTCTGCATAGTCGTTTCTCATTCTTTCTATCTCTTTGACGGAGTAGTTATATTTCCTAATTGCCGCTTTACATTTAGAACATTGCGGGTTCATTTTTGCGTTATATTCTGAAACCTTACCTGCTAAAACAACTAAAGCGTCAATGGTTTTCTTTAACTCAAAAGCTGCTGGTCTTATTTGTTCGTTCCATACTTTGCCTCTTCTATCTTTATCTCTTATTTCCCAAACACATTTTGCAACTAATGAAACAAAATTATCGTAAGTCTTAAACTCCTCAGATTTATATATGTCAGAAATGTTTTTATAAACCATGTCGCAATCTTTGTCCATAACCTTATGGTTGCAATGAAAACCAAGGAATTCATAATTTACTTTACGTATGAACTTCTTTATTTCTACTGAATCAGTAACTTTAACTTCAATTTCGTCGAATTCAGGAATAGTTAGTTTTTGCTGTTGGATTTCAGGCAATTTGGGTAAATGGTCAATAATGTCCTGCATTTCATAAAGATATTCTTCATTTTCTTCATCCTGTGCGGTACAGTCTAAATTACTTGTTAAAAGTTCTTGCTTTATTCTTTGTATTTCTGTTTCGAAAGTAAATGAAGAAGGAATGAAGTTTTTCATCTCTACTAACATAGATGTTGGATTCATGACTAACGAGTTTGGTGCTGTTGTTTGAATTGTTGTTGTGCCGATTGTTGAAATCATATCTTTTATACAAAATAAAAAAATAAATAAAAATAAAACTAACTTTATTTTTTCTGTCTTAAGGAAATTCATGAAAATTCACGGGGTGAAAAATTAGGTGAAAAAACAGGTGAGATCTCACCTCTTCACCTCAATTATATTTTTGGTCTTTTGTGAAAACACACAAAATTCATGAGTTTTTGACGAAGTGCAAAAGTTCACTTCGTGTCATAATGCAAAAAAATAATGCTGAAAACACACAAAATTCATGAGTTTTTGACGAAGTGCAAAAGTTCACTTCGTGTCATAATGCAAAAAAATAATGCTGAAATCATGAAAATTCACGGGGTGAAAAAAGAGGTGAAAAAACAGGTGAGATCTCACCACTTCACCTAAATTATATTTTTGTCTGATTTACATCTAATGAAAAAGTTTAGAAGAATTTTCTTATTCTTTCTGACATATTTTTGTCTTTCCAGTACTCCCGCTCTAATGGTCCCAGATGTGTTGGCTTTGACTCTCTCAAGTTCTTAGATGGTATAACATCTTCAACACCTCCTTCATATCTTACTTTATAAGTGTCATCGTTTATGTTGTAGTCAAGTATTTCAATAACCACTCCTCGCTTTGCTTCGTCAATGGTTTCAGCAAGTTTGCCATTACTACTTTCAACTAATTTGTGACGAGGATAAAACGCAATAGAGTCGTCAGCAGCTTTTATAAGATATCCATTACCTTGCGTAGAGTCTACGATATAATAGTTTCTACTTAACCTTAAACGTTTCTTTGTCAACGGTTTGTCGTCAAGAACTACACGAACTTTTGTTCCAGGAATGAGGGTAAATTGTGTTGAATTTCTGATATTTTGTGTTTGGCTTCGTTTCTTTTGTATATACTTTTCTTCTTGTTGTTGTGTCATTGAATTTGGTGTATGTCCTGTTGTAGAATGTGTTGAGGAATTATATACTTCGAGAAAATGTTTCATTGTTTCTTCGGTAAAGTCTCGCTCTTGGTTTAAATCTCTGAGAGTCCTTATGAAGCGGTTTATGATGCCGAGTATGTTATGGTTATGGTCTTCAGTAGTGTAGTGAGTTATGTTATGCTTAATGAGAAAATCTGTGATTTCATTGCTGAGGTATGCACTGTCTTGGTCTGATGTTAAAGTACTTGGGCTATGTTCTGCTACAAACTTTTGTAAAACTCTTAACACTTCACGAGTTCCTTTATTTTTCATTGGATATGCATATGCTTTACGAGTGTTAACATTTATGAAGATGAGGAATGGTTTATGTCCTCCTTTTCTGCTTTGAATGAGAGTGTCAAATTGGTATGCGTCAGGAGTGTTGGAGTAAATTGGTAAAAAGTAGTCGTAAGGGTTTATTTTTGTTTGATGTACAACATTTTTGTCAAAGAACCTTTTCACTTCAGCTCTGTTAGTAAATCCCCAACTCTTTGCAGCTTCATTGAACTTCTTAAATGACCTCCATGGATGTTGTTCGAATACTTCTTTCAAGCTCATTTATGTAAAATAAAGATTTTATTCTAGGCTCAAGCGCGTTCATTGAACGCGGTACCATGCAAATACAGTCACAAATGGTGGCATGTAATCTGCACCCGAGCCTGTTGGATTTGTTGTGAAAGTATGGGCATGATTTCCTGCGGTTCCACAGAAAATACCTGCGCTTGAATCTACTGGGTCACTTGAAATATCATATCTATGCATTCCCTGTCTATCCGAACCTGCTGCAAGATTTGTATAACCTCTTTTTGTTATTGAATGTGAATGACTACCTGTTGTGTTTGTAGTTCCTGTATGAGTGTGCGGTGGAAGGTTTGCTTCAGTAATTTTCTTCGAACCTCCTGTTTGCTTTGAAGAGTTAGCACAGTATAAGAATTTGTCTACAATCTGCTGCCATGTACCAAACCTAAAACTGTTGCTGGATTTGTTGAGTTCATTGACGTATAAATAGAGCCTATAGGATATAATGTTTGAAGAATCTGAGTCTTTAATGTTTGAAGCTCTGTTTTGTCTGCTTTCTTGTCATATAAATCTTGAGCAGTGAATTTAATATTATGTTCATCCTTCATGACATAAACATCTTTACATCTAATTTTCTCATCGTCGTTATGTCGTCATCCGATGTTAAACCTTGTGGAAAGTTAGGAGGTTTACAATATAATACATCCCCACCAGTTTCTTCAACCGTTCCTTCAATACTTTCTATAGCAACAGTTGTAAAACTTGTATGTGTATGAGTCTTATTTGCTTTTTTATCTAACATTGCTGGTAGTTCATGTGTTTCAAAGTTTCTGACATGACCTTCGATATTCATACATTTGTTATTTAAGGAGTTTAGTGTATCTTTTACGCTTGTACTTGGATTCTCTAAAGGTGCACTTGAACCAAGGGTATAGTTCAATATTATGTCGTCTGCTCTAACAGTAGTGAAGGATTTATGTGTATGGTTCTTGTCAGCTTTACTGTCTAATGTAGCTTGAAGTTCATTTATATCGGAGATGTGTGTGTTTATGAGATTTCAAAACTTTGTTCATTGCTTCGAGTTCAACTTTGTCAGCTTTACTTTTAATAGCATCTTCAAACGTTATTTTTGACTTAACTCTCAAAGTAAATCTTGGTTCAACTAATACACCGTTAACATTGAAAGTAGAGGCATAAATTTCACCGGTATAACCAAATGCTTCTGGTGCTTTAGCTACATCATACTGTACAGTACAGCTTATGTCATAACCTTTAGCACGAATGTATATTTTCTTTTCATTAACATTTTTTGTCTTCGCTTCATCACTTCGTGTTAAATATCCATGGTAGTCCGTTATAATCTGTTCGTCTGAAGTTATATAATGAACATGGTTCTTGTCCGCTTTACTATTTAATGTAGCTTGAAGTTCATTTATATCGGAGATATTGTGTTTATGAGATTTCAAAACTTTGTTCATTGCGTCAAGTTCATTTTTATCTGTTTTACTATTTAATGTAGCTTGAAGTTCATTTATATCGGAGATATTGTGTTTATGTTCTTTATCTGCTTTTTCGGCTAATTTCTCTTCTATCTCATTATATTTCAAGTTCATGCCTACCACCCTCCCGAAGAAGTATTTTTCTTCAGCTCTTGAAGAACGTCCACTTCGCCATCTTTAGTGTCAATAATGAGACTTTGTGTTAAAACCTTTCCTGTCTTAATGGATGTTTGTAAAACTTCTTCTTCACGTGTTCGGGGTCATGGTCGTCATCATATCTTGTGAAATCAGAGATGTTGTCATACATTAAGCATATCTGTCTCAAAAGTTCTGCTATTTGAAACTGGAACGAAAGATATACAGAACTTTCATCATCTCCTAAAGTCAAGTCTGCTTTCTTAAGTATTTCTTGAATGTATGCAATGAGAACAGAGTACCTTGGAAAATATTCGAACAATATTTCATTAGCTGTTGGTTTTGGTGGTTCTTCTGGAGTTTCTGTTGTTTCAGTTCCTTCTGTAGGTTCTGTTGGAGTTTCTGCATCTCTTGACTTCAATGCTCTTGCTCTCAAAGACCTAAATGTTAGAGCACCGGGTTTTACAAAGGACTTTATAAATGCTTTAATAGTTCCTGGTAAGTTATTGTTAGCATTAAGTAAGTTCCTTATGCTTCCATCATGTACGTCCATAGCACTATGTAAAAAATCTATACTTTTCTTGTAGTCAGCAATAGACTGACTGTGATTTTTTAAAGATTTGTCAATACCTTTAAGCCAATCTTCATGCATGTCTGATACTGAGCCAAGAATATCATTTGCTTCCTTTAGTGTATTTTGTGCTTGTCGTAAAGTATCCAATCCCGTACGTGCATTGTTTGCTATACGTCTTACAGTATCTATTTGACTCCTTGTTTCTTGCATCCAACCAGATAAAGTTTTAATAGTATCCGAACCATTTGAAATGAAGTTCAAAGCATTTTTAACGTCATTTAAAACTTCTTCACCAAGTACCGCCCATATCTTTCCGATTTGGTATTGAAGAACTCCATATGAAGCAGCTGTTAAACCAGTATTTATAAGGTCCCATATCCATGATTTAGCAGTTTTTCCATCCTTTCCATCCTTTCCATCCAAACCGTTTTCGCCTTGAGGTCCTTGTATTCCTTGTATTCCTTGTGGTCCTTGTGGTCCTTGTGGTCCGGTGTCACCCTTCTCTCCTTTCAGTTCATCTTTATGTTCGTTATAATATTCTAATGTCATAAGGTGTACATCATTACTGCTACCAGCAACGCCGAGAATTTGTTTCTCATTCATGACTAAATTCTTTAAGCATTTAATGTTGTCGTCAAATCGAAAGCTCTTTAACAATTCAATGAGAACATTTAATACTTTCACTAATGAGGCATCTACTGTAGAATTTATATATTGCACCGTTCCATCATTTATAATAGGAACTTTGCTTGTTGTAATGAATGGGTCATAAGTGTTAAAAGTATCGAAATCAATGACTTTTTTAGTTTTTCCATCGTCAATGACTAAATCATTGCCTTCAATGGTTAAAGTTGAGTTTTCGTTTACTAGTTCATGTGCTCTTCTTGCTTCATTTGTTTCATACGCATATGCAGCAATAGTCATATTTTAATGAGAATAAAATGTTGTTCTATTTGCAAAGTACAGACCCAAACGAATACGGGACAGTAAAGCTACAAACAAACTTAGGTCTTCAGAATGAAGCGCTTGCTTTCAGAGTTGTTGACTTTAATACTATCGCAACTTTTGTCATAACAGATGAAACAGATTTCATAGAGTTTGAAATAGATGACAAAAGAAGTTTTATAACATTTCCTAACAGAGCAGAGTATAGAATAGATAAAATTGCTGGAGTCATAGGTACTCTCATAAATGAAGAAACTATTGACAACATAGATGTCGAACTCTCTTCTGAGGGAACATTGAAGTTCAGTAGCAAGAAAGAGTTCAAGATAACACGAATGAGTCATAGAGTACAACTTCTTTTGGGTGCATACCATATGACATTTCCTTTGAAAAGTGTTGACAAAACGATTGAGATGAAATCTGTTCCATACGTATGTTATGGTAATTGTTTATACATTGAGTCAAAAATAGCTAATGTCACAGGCATTTCAGGAGTTAATAGTAAAGGTTCAGTAGAATATAAATCTTTCTGTTATGCAGTCAATTCAATGTTCATTCCAAACGTTCCTGTCATAGCAACTCATTTAGGTAAATGGGTTCGCATTAGTCCTCATAATTTGAAAGACATGCAATTCAGACTTGTTGACTTTCAAGGAGAGCCTGTAGAACTGAAGGCACCAGTGCGAATGACTGTTGAAGTTGACTTTTTAGAAAATATTAAATGCAACAGCTTACAAGAGAACTCAGAGCTAAAAATATAAAGTATGAATGTTATGTATTAGGTCATGAACTTTGGTTGTTGCTGTTTGATGAAACAAATGAGTTAGTTATGTCAGTCAAGAGAACAGAAAAAGGCGTCAAAGGCGCCGAGCGCAAAGCGCTATATTGTGTTAGTGAAAACTGCACCAAGTCAATAAGATTAGGTTTGCATTATGAAGATGAGTTCGATACTGTTGAAGAAGTTTTGGATAGATATTACAAATTGCTTTAATTTACTAAAACATATTTCAAGCAAAGCTTATAGTAAGTAGATAGTTTTGTATACTCGTTCGAATATTTATACTTAAACTCAACTCCTGGAGTACCTGGTGTTTCAATGATGCGGATGTTACCTATTTTCATGAATGGTGGCGTTTGACCACAGCATTCGATTTCAGGGTCGAGATAGTCAATGACACATTGTTTCCCTGTTATTCGTGATATAACATTTTCAAGGTCCTCCTTTGTTAGAATTATTTGGTTCTTGCTTATAAGATTTGTCAAAAGCTTCTTATCGTCTTTGAGTAAAATTGTTTGGTATAACTGAAGAAGGTAATGGTCTACGTTATCTGAAGGATTTGTTTGAACATTTGTGTAAGGGTTGTCGTTGGCTTCTCTTGAAAGAATTTGGTCAGTGGTGGATACTCTAACTTAACATCTGATGTAGCGTTAGCGTTTGAAGCTGAGTTTAAATTCACGGATTTCAGTTCTGGTTCTTTTTCTTTCAAACACTCTGAACTATAGTTCTTTATGACAATATTGTTTGTCGTTCGTGAGTCAACATTTGATGTTGGTTCAATTGGAACATTAACGGCACCAGCTAAGATGGATTTGCTTCTCATTTCATATAGAATAAAAACCTTTTATATGTATGAAATGAACAATATACTCGACAAGGGTTTGAATGTAAAGCTAACGAATGAAAATATTGTTGAATTCACTGAGACAGGAGCTGTGTATAAAGATGTAGAACTACTGAACAAAAGAGCTAAGGGAAGAAGCAGGAATATGAACAAAGGGTGGAAGCCTATAAAAATTTATGTCAATGATGGCTCAGGAGGTTCAAACATAAAGTATGCAGAAAGTTATAGAGTTTATGCTCTCAAAGGTGAAAAGCCTTCATTTAAGAACAGCTATTCTAACGCATATCCTCAAAAGCTAACGGATGGGGAAGTGGATGATATGAATGACAGCAAAAATATTAACAGAAATGGCGACAGAGATGCATGGAATTTGTTTACCATCAGTCAATTGAAGGTTAAACTTTAAAACAATGTTGGTCGTTCCCATGGAATATTTTTGACTTTAATGGTATTAGTCATGATATGAATCTCAAGGTATGAACGAGGAGAGATGAGAGACTTATATGCTTCCCAAATTTCTTCAAAAGGTAATGTTATACCTGACTGTTTCCAAATGAGTTCAATGTCATAGCGTGAGAAACCTTGAAAGATAACGAAGTCAGTTATGAGACGTTTTATGTTTAAAGCAAGGAAAACGCCATGTTTGCATAAGTATTGCTACAGTTAAGTGATAATGTCTGACTTTAGTAATGATGTTAGCTAATGGTGAGTCTGGTTTTGACACTAAACCTTTTCCGGCGAAGTCGTCGCAAACTAACAAAGTATTTGAAGGATATTTTTTGAAGGGGTATTTTGAAAGTTTTGACAGAATGTAGTTTGTAAGTCGTTTCATATCGTAAACTCCTGAGTACTGACGTAAGTGGTGTTTGTCAATAATTCTTTCCATCTCCTCAGAAGTCTTTTGCATTCCTGACTGTAATAAATTCACGATGGCATAATATTTCCTCTTACGTCGAATGTAACGTTGAAGAAATTCAATGAGTTCGCTATCTGGAACTTTAACGACAGAGGCTTGAACTTTTGACATAAACGTTTTCGCTGTTGAGTCCATAGAGTCTGAAGTTGCTGATATAATGATTTGGTCATAATATGAGTCGTTTCCTAAACGTTCTGTTATGAGTATATGACGAATGAGGTTAAATGTCTTACCTGAACCCATCTTTCCACAATAGAAATAAACGCCATTTGAACAGAACTCATAGTCCTTACTGAAAGGAAGAATGAGAGAAGAGTTAAGTTTGTCTGTAGTTTCATTCATGTCTTCATCTACGTCATGTATTAAATGCTTCATTTTATCTCCATTAAAAATGCAAGTCAGAAATATTCAGAACATAGCACCGAGTCTAACTGACAAGAGTATAAAGATATACTATGAACACGTTATGATGAAACCAACCAAAATTCAAGAAAGTCAGTATACTTATGAATATCCAAGACACTGGGTAGAGTATGTAGGAGGTGAGAAAGCTATTGAAATCAGACAGGTTCGAAGTATTCCAGCAGGAAGAACAATATTATTGAAGAACTTTAATGTTTTGAGATATAATGATGAAACAAAGAAGCAAGATAGTTTCCTGTTGCTGTGTATGTGAACTTAGATACAGGAGATGACATGAAAGTTTTTAATACAAAGCTTCAAACGGTAGTGAGAGAACAACTGACTGCGGAAGGGCATCCATTACCTTCAGAAGTTACCATAGCATATAATTTTGAAACAAACTCAATAGATTTTAAAGTCATCTCTGCAAAGAAGTCAGGTTTTACATTTAATGAAGGCAGATGTATATTCGAATGAAAACTTCAAAGCTATTGCATGGTTAGATAATGACGATTGCTTTAAGAAAATCTTTAAATTCAGTGACTCAAAGATGTCAATAGATGACCTTCGTGGAATGTTACCATCGACGTTTACAGTTGAAGGTTCAGCAGGATTGCTTACAAGATTGTCAATTGGTGGTATTTGGTCTCGTGAAAAACATTGTTATAAAATCCAGTATAAGTGAATTTGCTGAAGAATCTATATTATGTCTTTCAAACTACATGTATTCGCCACCGAAGCATTATAGTATAACAAACTTTGTCAGTAAGTTTAACATAAGACTTGTCGAACCTTCTTCAATGAAAGATGTTGTGCTACCTAAAGATGGAAAGGATGGACTCATTATTGAGATGATTTTAATTGCATATTAAATGAGCTTGTTCTTGAAGGTCATTCATGATGAAATAACTGTTGTAGAAGATGTTAGCAATTGTTCAGATATTTTATTGAGAATAGATGAGATAAGAAAGAAGTTTATGAATGAGAATGTTTATGTTTCATTGACTTTCTCCAGTAACGAGAACTTTTATGAGATAATATTGAAGAGAGATGATTTTAATATGGGGTAAATGGTAGCTTGGGCAGCTTTAGGCGCAATGGGAACAAAAGCATTAGCATTTGGAGCAAAAGCACTTGGAGCTTATGACGCAGTAAATAAAATGAGTGGAGGAAGGGTTTCAAAAGACATTAGATGCAAATAAAGGAAAGATTGGAGGCTGGGTTGCAAAGAAGTTAAGATTAAATAAAATGGGGCTCATAAATAAAGCATCCAATTTGGTTGCGACTGAGTCAGAAAATGCTTTAGGAAAGGACGATGAGTTTGCAAAAACACGCAAAAGACTTTAATGACCAGATGAAAGGTGAAACAATGCATTTAAATAGAGTCGATGGAACTAAAGAAATGTTTCTTCTCCACCAGTAGTTCTTCCGTATGGTCCCTATGGAATGTATGGAAACCCTTATGAACGACCATTTGACCCATTGACTGGTGGAAGTAACTGGTATCATTACGGACGAAGAAGAAAGACAGTCAAGTTGGAGACAGACGTGAAGAAAGCAACTAAAAAGAAACCAAGGAAGAGAGTTATAAAGCAATGAATTCAACAGGGTGAAAAAAGAGGTGAAAAAAGAGGTGAGATCTCACCACTTCACCTAAATTTATTTTTGTGCTATGTTTTCATACATGTGAGGGTGGTGAGATCATTTATTTTTAAGTTTATTTTTTATTTTATTTTTATTTTATTTTTATATAAATGACGAAAACTATTGAGATAACAAACTACAACGGTCATGAGTTCAAGAATTTGTTCTTCGTTCCTCGTGAAAATACATTCTATCAGATACGAGGGAGAAAGGGTAAAGTTAGTTTGAGCGTTTATGAAGGAATGAAGAATGGAAAGTTTATACAAGCATACGATACAAACGGTAAACGTGTTTCATTAGCTTTGTCAAAACTTACTAACATTTATTTTGACAGTGACTTTGACCTATATGAAGAAGAAAGTGAGTCAGAAGATTATGAGTTGTTATGTGAAGCACAGCAATGGGAGGAGTTGCAATACTTTTGTAAGTGAGAACGTTTATTTTTTACAGTAGTGAGGTGAAGTGGTTGGCGGCTTTGTAAATATTTAAGGTTAAGTTAGTGTTGTCGTTTGTGTTGTAAAATATACGTTAACGGTTTTGTAAAGTGTCAAAACCGTTAAGTGGTGTACGGAGGAGCGCAGTGCCACCGTACACGACTTAGCCATACTAACTAAGTTGTCCAGAAGATTTAATTGAATTTATCTCTGAGCCGGGAAAACTAGTTTTTTTATATGCACCTTTCGAAGCGAAGGCCCTTGGTCACCAAATTTCTACGTTTCACATCGATTCAACGTATAAACTTCTAAGGGCTAACATTCCATTATATGCACTCACAGGAAAAACAGAACATACTATTGTTTTTCCTTTTTTTGTATTTCTTTATTTCTCCTGACACAAGCGAAAATATTCAATATTGTGTTTGTCGTTATTTTCAATATATTAATAGAGAACCCGAGATGATAAGTATGGACTGCGCCCCACAAATAGCCGAGGCAATTGAGCGAGGTATTCCAAACTGTCATATTCTTTGGTGTGGCGTGCATGTCCTTCGCGCCATATTAAGAAAAGCGGATAAGTTTAAATCACGAGACAATTTTGAAGAATTTTATAATCTAATGAAATTATTAGTATTCGATACTAAAGAAGAATCTCCGAGGAAGAACAGAACCAAGAAGAAGAAAATCCTAGAGAGGAACCAGCTCAATCTCACTTACTTCAAGCAGAAGAAATTGAAGAAGAGGAAACAATATGAAGAAGAATTCATCGAAAATGAATTTCAACCTTCTCAAATCTTTTTACACGAGAATCTTCTGATGATCCAAACGATTCTGAATTTATTCCAGAAGAAGAAACGTTTGAAACAAGTGAAGAAGTTCCAGAGCACCTCACTCAAGAAGAAGCTGCAGACCTAGATGCAGTTTATGATCGAATTCTTGAAATTCTTTCCACTGAACCGAAAGCCAAAAGTACTTCGATAGGCAATGGAGGCATCATTTAGATCGTTGGAATAAGCGCTATCGCAACGGAGGTGACGCGACTAATAACGTCAGTGAGTCACATTTCAAAGTTCTCAAGCATTCTTATTTCCCAGAGAGAAGGAATATTCGATTAGACGATTTTGTTGTTGAATTATACACAACGGTTGTTCCAGCATTATTGATTAAATTTAAAGTTCAATTAATCAATAGTGATAAAGTTGTTCGTATATTACGAAAAGCTAATGACCATGAACAAATATTGGATAACAAAAAAGTCGAATGTTTGAAAATGCTTGAAGCAATATATTCAAGTTTGCAACAAGGATCAATAGATTCAAATCTTGTTTATTGTACTTTAAAGGTACTTTTAAAAAAGAAACAATTAATGTAAAAGATTCAAATAATTTTTTATTATTATTTTATTAATTTTTTAAAATAAGGTTAATAAAAAAGTGACACCGGATAGTTTGTCCCACACTCATTGTTTCCATACCTGTTCAATGCTTTTATGAATGCTATTCTCTTGAAACAGTCAATATTAAATTAGATCAACTAACATTAATCTCCAATGAATCATTCTTCAACTGTTATTCATTGAAATCTATTTCATTCCCAATTTCATTACAAAAAATTGAATCTTATGCATTTGCAAATTGCGCCAATTTAACAGAACTAACATTTCAGAATGCACTCATTCAACTCAATGAAGGATGTTTTATTAATTGCACATCATTGAAAAAGATTAATTTACCAAATAGTCTTGAAATGATCGAAAAGAATTCATTTTCTAATTGTTATGAATTGCAAGAAATTCTCATTGAATCAAATTGTTCAATCACCGGAGATGTTTTTGAGAATTGCAGCAAATTAGAAAAAATTGGTATTAATTCACAAAATTATGATATATTACAAATCGTATCTTTCCATAACACAGTTAAATCAATCACACTTAATTTATCCGTCATCAAATATCCATCACTTTCATCATTCAATCATCTTGAAACCATTAACATCTTTTCTCATGAAAATGATTCACTTATCAATGAAAATTTCATCACATCATCCAATGTGAGCATTTCTATCTTTGGAAACATCAAACGAATTTCAGATAAATCATTTTCTAACAGTTATATTAACACATTCTTGTACTGTGGCGATCGATCAGTTGAAGGTAAATTCCTTTCCAAAGATCGTGTGAAAATTGTTAATGTTTCCGAATACTATCCTCACAAGAACATTGGTGGTCTTCCTGCTCATAAAACATCTGAATGTCCAAACTTTCCTAAAAAGCCATATGTTAGACTTACCACATTTCAAATCATTCTGATTTCTTTATCGGTTGTTATTCTTATTTCCATATGCATTACAATTCTTATCAAAATTCAAAGATGTCGTAAATCTCAAAAGAACATCGAAAGCAAATTAATGTTAGAAAGACTTGTTAATGCTGAATTCGGATGATTTTGTATTATAAACTATATATTCAGTCAAACAGACAGATTTTGAACAATTGAGGTTCAAGTGCATAGTTTTAACAAGTTTTGAACAGCTTTGAATCTAGTCAAACTTAGATTTGCAACGGTAACGAGTTACTGATAATGATTTATGCAAAAAAAATTCTGTTTTCATGCAAGTAAGTCGGTGGAAGAAGGAATAGAATTGACTAGAAAAAGCAAAAAGATGCATATCAAAAACCATAAATGATCAAAACATTCATAATTTCATATGAGAGCAATTAAAAAGTACTCAAAAAATAATGGAAAAATCATATACATTTTATAAATAAATAAAAACAGTATTTTATTATAGATTAGCAGCTGATTCCGAGAGCAGTTCTTCTTCGTCCTTGGGCATCTTTGGTTGTGGACTTACCAACTTCATAATTCCCAAGATAACAATTGCAATAACAATGAATCCACACAACAAAGAAATAGATACTGGTTTGCTTCTAAACTGTCTAGAAACATTTGGAACTAAAACAGGACACTTATCAAATCCAACAATTTCAGCTCCGCCGAATGAATTATGTGGATAATTATTAATTACGTAAATTTTGACTTTGTTGTCAAACAGCAATTGTTCATCAAATTTATATTTACCACAGTAACTCAACACATCCAATTTGGATGCTCCTTTGAATGCTTCAACATGAATCTTGTTAACTAAAGGAGGAATCCTTAATTTCTCAATTGAAGTGTCTTTGAAAGGAGAAACTTTAATTGTTTTGAGGGTTTCCGGCAACAAAATTATTTCCAAATTCGAACAACCACTAAACAAATTATCATTAATTGTATCTACATTTGTATTAGATATATTTATCTCTACAAGTCTCTGGCAATTACTGAAACATGATTCATTTATAACTGTTAATTTATTTGGTAAAGAAACTTTAGATAAACTTGGACATTTCATGAATGTTCCATTTCCTAATGAATGTAGATTAGTTTTATATAAATCTAATGATGAAATCTTCGTACTTGAAAATGCTCTTGAATGTATAATTTCAAGTGAATTTGGAAATTCAATACTTGTAAAGCTACAATCAGAAAAAGTGCCAACTCCAATTGATTTCAAATTTGGCGGCAATTTTATATTTGTTAACAAAGCGTTTGAAGAAAATGAGTAATTGTCAATATGTAATAAACTAACGCATGATGACATATCAACTGATGTTAGTTTTGCACAGTTCTGGAATACTCCAATTCCCATTTTTTGGACATTTTTAGGCAAATTTATTTCTGTCAAAGAAGTCAATTCAAAAGCAGAATCATTTATAAAATTCACTGTTTCAGGAAGTTTTATATCAGAAAGAGAGCTGCACTTTGAGAAAGCCAAACTACCAATAGTTGATAGTTTAGTTGAATACAAATTTACCTGTTGGAGTTGTTCGCATCCCATGAAACAAGAACTAGAAATAATTTCCAAAGTTTTGCCAAATAAAATTAATTTCAAATTCAAACATTGTAAAAACGCGGATTCTTCAACAGAAGTTATTGGAATATCTTGAAGATTTAGATCACTCAAACTCTGACAGAAAGCAAAACAGAAGTCATCCAGTTTAGTTATTGTTTTTGGAAGAGAAATAGTTGATAATTTGATGCATTTTCTGAAGAAATGTTTTGGAAGAATTGAAATTTTTGTTTGTGAAATATCTGCTGAAAGTAAAGACTGGCAACCAAAGAAAACCCCATCATTGATATTAGTAACAGTACTAGGAAGTACAATGCTAATAACAGATGTCTTTGCAAAGGCAGAATTGTTGATTTCTTTCAAATTTTCAGTGAAAGAAACATTTGTTAGTTTTTCGCAGCTTTTGAAGGTTTCGTCATGGATTGATTCGATTTTAGAGTGTGATAAATCAACAGTTAAAAGGTTTGGACATGAATAAAATGATCTAATTCCAATTGTTGAAACTGATTCTGGTAAAATTAAATTTACAATGGAAGTTTCTGAAAATGCTTCTTCGTGGATAGAAACTAAGGTTGATGGTAATGATAACTGTCGTAATTCAGTGCATTTACTGAATGTTTGCTTGTAAATTTCCTTAATTGTTAAATTTGACAGATTTATGTTGTTTATGTTTGAAGCTGAGTAAAAAGCTAATTCTCCAATGTATGAAATGTTCTCTGGGAACTCAATAGAAAGGATTCCTGAATGAGAAAAAGCAAAATTTTCTATTCTTGTAATTGTTTTTGGTAAAAAGACAAATTTGAGCTGATCAGTATGCTTAAATATGCCTTCTGGTAGGGAATCGATAGCTGATTGTGAAAAATCGATTGATTTTAGTTGTTTCATGTAAGAAAACGTGTATTTTCCAACAGATTTAAAGCGAATATTGCCGTTAAACAGTATGATATTTGTGTGAGCGAAGCAATAGTCACCAAAAGTATCAATTGTTGGAGGCAACTTTAGATTTGCAAGAGAACTGCAACCATAAAAAGCATAAATTGGTAAGGATGTTAATTTTGATTCTGATAAATCTGCAACGCTAAGACTAGTACAGTTCACAAAAGAGTATTCTCCGATTTCACTGAGAGAAGTACTTGTTTTAAGATGACTGATGCGAGCATTTGAAAAAGCATATGGATAAATATGTGTAATTTTGTATTGTTTGCCATCTATTTTTACAGTATCAGGGATTTCGACTTTTCCATTACTTTTTGTGCATGAAGTAGTAGAATTTGGTTGCCCAATATAAAACTCTGATTCATCTACTATAGATCCTGTTAATTCAGCTTCGCCTACAATGATTGTATTAGTCGCAAAAAGAATATTAACTATCATCTTTATAAAAAAAAATTTACAAATATTCTAATAAACCTTTATATAAAAAATAATTCTATAAAATAATAAATAATAAAATAATTTTCCAAAAAGTCAAAACCTCCAAATTTTCATTCAATTTTTTTTGAATGGAAAGAAAAAAATTTTGATTTTGGATTTATTTTGTGAATTTCTTCCATAAGTTAACAGCTTGTGGCTTGTATTCTTCTTCTTCGAGCCAATACATGAACTGGTTCAACAAAAATGTTGGATTTTGTTTTAATTCTTTGATTAATTGAGCTTTTGTTGAAATATCCTTTGATTTAAGAACAGAAGCAATTGCAAGGTGTTTCTGAGGTATCTTGTTATTGTTAGGTGCGGTGTAATTGTTGATCATTGTCATACTCATTCCTTTATGTAACTGTTTAATTTCTTCAAAAACGTCACCTTTCAAGAAACCTTGAGCGAAATACATGTATTTGTTTTCTTGTACTTCGCAAGGAGTAGCAGGGATATTCCATTTACCAACTTGTGCAGCCATTGATGCATCGATTTCGCTGTTTTTGTATTCACCTTCTGTCTTGCAAACAACTCTATCAGACAAGGGATCGTAATAAGGAGTTTGTTGGTTAGTTTTAACTAAGAAAAGAGGAGAACCAACTAACATCAGCCATTGTGGAGCGATTTGTGATGGATTCTGTAATCTGTTCCTTCCATCACTACTTACATTATCTATGTAGACAACGTATTTCGGTGGACTTTCAATGAGTTGTGAATTTCCTGGTAAAAATGATTTTGTTCCATCAAGTAAAACATATTCATTTCCTTTTACTTGATGAGCTACGTGGTCTGGATATCCACAGAGAATTGCCTGGCGTAGTTTGTTCGCTTGTTTAGAGTCTGTTGGCTCCAAACTCGTGATGCAAATGTCAATTTTATTTTTGACAAGTAATTTTTTGAGTTGGAATCTGATATTTTGTATTTCTTCCATGGCTTTCGGTCTGAGATTGTTATCCAAACAGAACTTCTGACGCTCTTCAGGTTGTTCGTATTGCCATGCACAAAACATCTTCATGGCATACAATATATCTGAATTGTCTGCATCAACATCTAAAGCATTGTCACTTTTTTCATTTGAATTACTTTCAAATGGTTCTCTTACAGAAAGAACTCCGACAATTACAGCTGCGTAATCCAAGAGACCGTTTGCTTTTGCCATGATCAAGATCTTAGAGAGTCTTGGATCCAATGGATAACCAACCATTATTCTTCCTAACTGTGTGATTTTGCGAGGAGTTTCTGTTTCAATTGCTCCGAGATGTTGCAAAATCAGTTCACTCTGTTTGATGTTTTCTTCGTTGATTTGAGTGGGAAATGGAAACTTAGAAATGTCGTTTAATCCCATTGACTTGAGAAGTAGAACTACTTCTGTAATTGGTCGCTTTAATATCTCTGGAGGAGAGTATTTCTCGAAAGCGTTGTGTTTGTAGGCTTGTGAATAGAGTCTGAAGCAATAGCCAGGTGATGTTCTGCCTGCTCTTCCTTTCCTCTGCTTCGCAGAAGCCTTGGAAATGTATTGGACTTTTGCGTTGACGTTTTGTTTGGAGAAATCATAGACTCTGACTTTCTCGAGACCTGAATCAACAACATATCTTACTCCTGGAATTGTAAGAGATGTTTCTGCAACGTTTGTTGAGAAAATGATGACTCTCTTGTCTTTTGGTGGATCTTTGAAGACTTTTTCTTGTTCGTATGGATCGAGCAATGAATACAAAGGTAATACTAACATTGGCTTGCGACTTGTAACAGGTGGAAGGTTTCCATACATCATGTCTTCAAAGTTTTCGATTGGTTTGAGTTTTCTGTGTCTCTTTCCACTGTCATCAATAAAGATTTCATTCTCATCGTCTTCGTCAACGTTCTCTTCTGTTTCTTGCTTTTGTTCTTTTGGTTTTTCGGTCTCTGGTTTGGAGGAAGTTCCCTTTGTCACTTTTTGTTCGTCCTTTGGTTTATCTTTGTTTGACTTTGAAGGATCTACTGTTGGTAATGATCTGAAATAGCCAACAAGTTCGTTGATATCGCTTTTTCCTGGAACGAAAACTAAGATTGAACCATCAGGAAGTGTTTCATGGAGATGATCAACCAAATTCTTGATACATTTGTTAACGTTTTCAGGAGCAGGTGTATCTTTAGGATATTGGTCTGTAACAGGATACATTCTACCTGGAACTTTGATTTCTTTAGGTGGAACTTCAAATAATTTTTCGTTCTTAGTGAAATCTTCTGACCTTAATGTAGCAGACATAATAATCAGCTTAAGAGGCTCAATGGATGAATCCTTCTCTGATCTTTCTCTTCTTGTCTTTACAATCTTGGATAATAATCCAATTAAAACATCTGTGTTAACTGTTCTTTCGTGAGCTTCATCAATAATTACTACTGAGTATGAGGACAAGAATAAATCTGATTCTAACTCCTTTAACAATACACCATCTGTCACAAATTTAATTGTTGTTGCATCTGTGAGTAAATGTTGGTCACGAATCTGGAAACCGACTTCTGCACCATGTCTGAAGCCCATTTCGTAGGCAACACGCTTAGACATGTTAATTGCAGCAACTCTTCTCGGTTCTGTGACAACAATCTTTCCTTTCGCACGGAAGGTGCCGTATCCTGCTTCGTAAAGGAATTGTGGGACTTGTGTGGTCTTACCTGAACCTGTATCACCTTGAATAATAATTATATCATTTTCACGTATTGATTCGAGGATTTCTGTTTCTTGGCCTATGATAGGAAGCTTCTTTCTAACTTCTATGACGTCTTGTGGACGATCAAGATGGACTGTTTCTTGTTTTCCATCACGAATTGTAATTTTGCTTGGCATATCGCGTTTCTCGAGTTCTGGTCTTGATGGTGGTATAAGTGGCTTGAAAACTGCGGCTTGCTTTTGCTGAATCTTCTCTGTTGTAACTGGTTCTTCGCGATTTGGAATTTCTTCTTCGGATTTTTGAATTGGAACAAATGCTGGCATTGCTGCAATTCTGTCGGCCTTTTCTTTCTTCTTCTTTTCGATTTTTTCGATAATTTCTTTGTCGTAAGGTAAATTCAATTCTCTTAGATGTAATGCTTCCTTGTAAAGCTGATTTTCTGTCTTTTTTACACCAATGCTGGATGATGTAGCCATAATCTCCTTTGTTTGTTTGGATACGGCGTTTTGTTTGAAATTTGCAATAACTTCACCGACTCTTGCACGTTTTTCTTGTAAAAGTCTTATCTTCTCTTTCTTTATTTTTGCTTTTTCACTGCTATTTGATGCAGATTTGATTTTTCGTTCTTGATTTCGTTGTTTTCTGAGCTGATGCTTATTTAATTTCTGTTCTTGTTGCTCTTTTGGACCAGCCTCAGGATCAATGACAATATCATCGCCTTCTCCAAGTTCTTTCTTGAGTTCTTCACTGATAATATTGCTCATTTATTCTGATTTGGTACAAAAAATTTTGATTGAGAAGCTATGTTCGAAATTTATGTCTTTTATTACCAAGTTTTCTTATTGCATATACTTAAATAAAATCAGCTTATTTTTATAAAATCTCTAAAAGTGACAGATTTTAGATTCAAATTCGCATAAGTTGATTAACTAAGAGCCATTTGAATACCCAAGTTATCAAAAATCTCTGAATACGGCCTTTTTGTATCATTTATTATTGTTTATTTCATTTAATGCCCAATGATTCAATATTGTTTAACTGAAATATGTTAATTTAATATGAAAAAAACTTACTATTTGACAACAATTTAAAATCACATATTATGGCTCATTTCAAATAAGGATAAAAAGACATTTGTTGGCATAAAGTAAATTTACTTTTACTCATCATCGTCGTCTACCATTTGGCTCATAAGTTTATCGAGATCTTCATCATCGTCATCGTCGACATCAGCTGCAAGATCAGCCATAAGTTTGTCCATATCTTCATCATCATCTCCGTCAATATTCTGTGCTGCCTGGATTTCGAGATCAGCCATAAGAGCTGCGACATCTTCATCACCAGAATCAGATCCCATTTGTGCCTGAAGTTCTGCAAGGTCTTCGTCTTCTTCAATCTTCTTCTTCTTCTTTTCATCTTCTGGTTCATCTCTCTGGAATACTTCTGTTGTTTGTCCTTCTTGAGCGTTCTTCATTTCTTCTAACTGAGCCATGAAAGCTTGATCATCTTCAGGAGCAGCGCTGATTTCTGTAATAAGTTCGCCAGTCCTGAGTTCTTGTAAAATGGTATCTGCTTTATCGTCTTCAACTTGATCTTCTGTAATAGCATTTGATGGTCTCTTCTTCTTTCTCTTGCCTCCTGTGTCTTCGTAGTATTCAACTTGTTCATCTTCTGTGGCATTCGTTGTGGCGAATTGGCCATGAGCAGCGTTTGCAGCTGCATAATCGGCTGTTGCGCATTTCCTGATGATAGCTGCCATGTATTCTCTTCCTGATGATAAAGCATATTCGACTGGTGTTTGGTGAGTAACATCTGTTGCATTTAGGTCTGCACCATGCTGGATAAGTAATGGAATGAGATCTTCTCTCTTGACAAGCAAAGCTGTGTGAAGTGGTGTACGGCCATCCCATTTCTTATTTTGGGTGGCGCCATTATCAAGTAACATTCGAACCGTATCATAACCAGGTCCTTCGACTGAAACATGAAGTGCAGTCCATCCGATATCTGGTTCGAGTATTTGTGGCAGGAATACTTTCGGATCATCAATATTGACAATCGCGCCATGATCAAGAAGAATTGACATGGCTTGAGATTTGCGTCTAAGAGCAGCCCAGTGAAGTGGTGTACATCCGAGAGAATCTGCACCGTTTATCTTGGCGCCTTTTTCTAATAAGATATTAAGGCAGTCAATACGGCCATGGCGAACAGCAGTATGAATGGCGTATGTTCCACCAATTTCGGCTTCTAAATCAATCTTTTCTTTGAGAAGTCTTCTTAATGAGATTGGTTTATTATGCAAAATTGCATAATGAACATCAAATGGAAGGACTGGAACACCTTTTTCAATCAAAACATCCATTGCCTGAATGGAGTTCCAGTAAATGCAAGTTTGCATTGCGATGTCATCCGCTTTAACACCATAATCGATAAGCATTCTTACAATTCCTGCAAAGTTAAAGCAGCACGCAGTAAGAAGAGACATATTGCTCGGTTTTGCACCATGTTGAATTAATGAGATCACATTGTCAAGCTTTCCTGCATAAACGGCAGCTTCAAGGGCATCATCAAGCATACCATTTGTCATAAATGGAAGCAGCATGTTTGGATCCGTAGCATACTCAGCTGCATATTCAATTGGGACTGGATTGGCACCAGCGCCAAGGAGAAGGTTAACATGATCAAGAGTTGAATATCTAACAGCAAGCATAGCAGGTGTTTCTCCCTTATAGATGTGATTAAGACGCGCTCCGGCTTCGATTAATAATACAGCTGTTTCCATACTTCCGACATAAGATGAGCAGTTAAGAGGAGCCATAACATCTCCATCTAAGTTAACTGGTGCACCCATTGCAATAGCTAATGCACAGCAACCAGGTGCGTCTAATAAAGCTGTGATTTGCGTAAGGTATTTTTCTTGTACTTTAAGTGTGCCTGGTTTGCCGTATGTAAGGGATCTGAACTTCTGAGTATTGTCTAGGTTAATGGCTTCCAGTAGGGCGTTTTCTAATTGGGTTGCCATTAATTAATATTTAACATTTTATGCGCTCTCTCAATTTCTTTTTTGAGAATAGAGGCGACTTCATTTCATTGAAAGTAAGTACTATTGATGCTAATACTTAATGATCTCAAAATAAGTTAGCGTTCAAGTATTTCGTTTATCAAAATTGCTAAAATATGATGATGCTAAATTTGAAGCTCGACATGCGCTAAAATCGACGTCATGATTGAAAAACATATAATTATATGGATCAATTTCATGATTCCTGAGTTATTGATATAAGTATTTCTTAAATTAATTTAATCTTGAAATTTCCACATGAAATATGAATAGTAAGTCATAGTATATGTTTATTAAAAATTGATGTAATTCTTGTTCTGCATATTCTCAATCAGTTTCAAGACTAATTCTAATCAAATGAGAAAACGTTTAAAATAAAGCTTAGTTATTTCTTAAAGATCATTGAATAAGAACCTCATTAGATTTTCCAATAAGAAATCATTTAAATATTAAGTCTTTCAATGCCTATTGCATAGTTATTTTCTCCTCATTGAATTAAAAAAGTGACAAAAATTATTATGGATAGAGCTCATCCTGAATTTTCACCTGTTATAGCAATTTTACATGAGGCAGATGGATTTGTTGTTACAATAGAAACTAAACAAGGAGAAATGTATCGTGGAACTCTTTTCGGATCGGAAGATACTATGAATGTTGAACTTCACGACGTAACATATACAAATTCAAAAGGTGTAGATAGTCACAAAGATAAAGTATATATTCGTGGATCAAATATTGTATTTTTTGTTCTTCCTGATATGTTTGCTAATGCTCCAATGTTTATTGATGAAAAGAAGGTTAAAGGTCATGCCAATGGCTATGCAGGAAATCTACGTGATCTTGATAATGCTCTTAGAATTCGTACAAAATTCTTTTAAATTTAATAATCAATGTTGGAATCCATCGTCAATTAATTTATTCATCGATTTTACATTTATTTAATAACGATTTGACGTATAAACTCTGTCTGACAATTATTCCGATATCAAAGTCAATTCAAGAAAGTTGGAATGGATTACATCTACCATATGATCAAAGTTCAGAAAATTTTTACTGTATATTTCTATGAAGAATGCCATATTCTTAAAATTAATATCATATTTTTCTGTATATAGAGAAATATTGGATGTTTTTAGAATATTTGTTTGTATCTATTGTTATATCATATTAGTTAAACTCTTTACTTTTAAAATTTATTTGGGAACTTTTTATATACTGTACCATTCTAATGTTCTGCTGAAAACCTAAACTTTCATAAGTAAGTTAAATGATTCTTTAAACATAAGGCTTCAAATGCACATATAATTTTTTGAAAATAAATTTAAAACGACAATATACTATAATTTTGATTTGCAATCAGATAAACACGACTTAAAAATATTAAAGACAATATCAATTTGCGAATACGTAACATCCGTGTCAGTTTATCATTTATAAAAAGTAACATCGAACAAAATATTTGGTGAAAAAAACGTTATAAACAAAAAGATGTCGAATGCAGTGAGTACACTTTCGTGCCGCAACGTCTTTGGTTTAAACAAGCAGTGCACACCTAATGTACTTTTCGTAGGCGACGAATTCATAGTCTTTTCAGCAGGTAACACCATTGTTTCTCATAATATAAATTCACGTCAGCAAAGAATTTTCGTTCCTACAGAGGATGATCCATCTGGTGTATCAGCAATTGCATATGCTGAAGGCAAACCAAACGTTGCTTTCGGAAATAGCGATATTTCTCCAGGTGTTTGCATTTTTGATATTCATTCACAACATCCATTAAACTTCTTACACTTAAGCGATGATTTCAACTCTCAGGGAGGCTTCATTTCTCTCTCTTTCAGTAACGACGGACACTATCTTCTCGGCCATGGCAAAGCTCCAGGCTGGAACTTAGTTGTCTGGTCATTAGAGTCCAACCAGAGAGTTGACATGGTCAAGACAGCAGAAAAGGAAACACCAGTTACAATGTGTACCTTCTCTCCTGGAAAGAATCCGCAAATTGCTGTTACAGGAAATAACATTCTCAAAATCTACAAGTTAGAAAATGGCAAATTACGCGAGGTTGTCATTCCAAATCCAAAAATAGGCAACATTATGTGCCATTTATGGCTAAATGAAACAACATTACTCTGTGCAAACTCATCTGGCGATATTATCAGCGTTACTTCAGATCCACAGCAATCAGTAATCGAATCTTGCGATCATCGCGATTCTCCATTCGTTACAATGGCGAGATATAAAAAAGGTTTTCTTGCTGCTTCAGAAGGCGGCTACCTTACAAAGTTCGATCAATCAACAACAACACCAGGCAAATACGTTCAAGTCGAACAAGTCAAATTGTTCGGAGATGAACTTCCAATTTCTGCTCATACGATTGCAGTTGATCCATCTGAAGAGAACTGCGCAGTTTCTCTTAGAAACAACCGTATTGTTACAGTTTCTCTCTCAAACGGCGATATTATCCTTAATCCAGAAGAAAAACCTTTAATTATGCCTTTCCACGATGGACCAATCTTCTCATGCAGTACATGCTGCCGTAAACCACTCATTGCTACATGCGGTGCTGATAAAACTGTTCGTGTCTGGAATTATTTAGATAATTCTCTCGAGATCTGCAAAGAATTCACTGAATCAGTTTACTGCGTCAGTTTCCACCCCGATGGCCTTTCAATGCTCATTGGTTTGGGTGATAAACTTGGCTTATTCGGTGTATTCTACGACGATCTTCGCAAATACAGAGATTTCCCAATCAGAGGTTGCAGATGCGCGAAGTTCTCCAACGGTGGCCAGTTATTTGCTGCCGTTAACCTCTCAAAGATCCAGATTTACTCCACATTAACCTTCCAACTCATTAATACATTGCACAAACACAGCACAATTGTCAACAACCTCATTTGGGGCGAGGCAGATACGATTATTGCCTCTGTTGGTGCTGATGGCGCAATGTATGTTCACAGACAAGAGAGTTCTTCCTCCAAATCAGAAGAAAACTACACAACAAGCGGTATCCAGTACTCCGCAATCACTGCATCTCCTGATTTCACTTCTATCTACATTTCAGGTACAGATTGCATGATCAAAGAGATCCAAAACGGTTCAGTTGTCAGGACACAAAACTATCCACAGTGCGAGAACTCCCCACATCAACAGAAAGCTCTTGTTATGTCCAACAACGGCCAAATGTTCTTCTCCGGATCAAAAGACGGCAAAGTCACAAGTTTCTCATTGCCAATCAACAATGAAAAATCAGAGATTTGCTGCCACACGGGAGAAATCAATTCCATGGCCATTTCATTCGATGATTCTTTGTTGTTCTCTGTCGGTGATGATGGTGTTCTTGCCATATTCACAATCCACGACAAAGACAACAGAGTTCACACATTAGAAAGAACTTTCTTCAGCGATGAAGTTCTTACAACAAAAGCAGAAATCGAAGAAAAGGCCGGCCAGTTGAGAACATCAGAAGCAGAGTTAGTTGACTTGGATGTCAACTTCAAGATGAAGAAAGACATGGCAGAGAGCACAAACAAACAGAATGTCCAAGCAGAAAACGAAAGAATCAAGAAAGCCAAAGAGAAATGGCGTATTAACAACGAAAACATGAAGAAGAAGAAAGATGAAACAGATATGATGAATAAAGCGGAAGACAAGAGAATCAACAAAGAATGGAACGACAAAATCGCTGCAAAAGATGACTACTATATGCAGGAGATTCTCAAGATGCACAAAGAATGCGAAAACCTCGCGAACCAAAAGAAGGAAATCGAAACACAAGGAAAGAATAACCTCGCGGGCGAAGAAGCAAACTTCAAGAGAATTATGGAGAACATGCAAGGCTTGCAGAGATCCAAATTAGAAGAGGCACAAGTAGCCCTTGAAACAGCGAAAGAAGAGAAAAGAGCTGAAGAACAATACATCGAAGAAATGAAGAAAGAAATCCTTGAAGAAAACAAGACAGCAATCAAAGACACAGAAACAACATTAGACAAAACTAAAGAAGAAAACGAAAAGCACAGAAGTGATCTTCAAGATGAATGTCAATCAAGATCAAAGGACTTCAACTCTTACCAGAAACAAATGGAACATCACACAGCAGAACAAGAGAAACTCAAAACATTGATGATGAAATTGGAAGCGGAATTGAAGTCTTTGAATGAAGAAAACAGACAACTCGAAGCAGAAATCACTCAAAGAAACCAACAGATCAAGGAAAGAGAAACAAAGATTGGCGAAGTTAAGAAAGAAAACCAAGAACTCGAAAAGTATCACGCTGTTTTAACACACCAAGAAAATATGTTGAGACAGCAGTCAACACCTTTGGAGTCATCCATCGCTGAAAAAGAAAAGAGAATTTCAGAAATGGATGCAGAACTAGAAAACGCTCATAAAGATACATCAGAAAAGAATGAAAGTATCGTTGAGATGCAACAGAAATTACAGAAAGTCATCGAAAGCGAAAGAAGACAGACAAAACTATTGACAAGCGCCAGATCTTACTTCGAACAAATGAAGCACGATCTTCATGAAGTTGTTCAGAAGTTCCACGCTAAAGATGAGTTGAAATCAATGTTCTTGGCTTTCTATCAGAAGTTCATACAGAACGAGAAGATAGAAGACATTCAACTCGATGAAGCTGTCGAGGAAGAACATAAGAGACAGACCGCAACATTGCAGAAACAGCTCAAGGAACTCAGACAACAACAGATGCGCGATTCACAGTTCCAGATCAAGGAAGAAGCAAAGGATTTGCATACAAATGCTTCTCTTATTGAGGAATTGGAAGGACTCAGACAAGAGCACAAACAACTTCTCTCTTCAATGGCATTGACAAAGAAGGCAACTGGAGCTGGACAGAAGGGACAGCAACAGATGCTTCCTGCAACAGAGGCAAACAGAAGAATAGAAGAGAACAAGAAGAAGATTGCTGCTTTGGAACAGCAACTCAAGCAGTATAATGATTCTAGACCATCAACATAAGTGTTATAAAAATTTTTTTCTTATTTATTAAATTTGTTTTTTATTTCTAAGAACCAAGGCAATGAAATCACAAGAAACTTCGAGAGTATATATATATTCATGATTAAATTATTTGCTCCTGTAATTAATTTGATTAACTAAACATTTTCAAAAATTTATATAGTGTACCCTTTGTTCTGATATATAAGCGTTCTCACGCACTTTAAGTAATTAGATGAAACTGTTCATAATGCCAATTACAATGTTTCATTAATGCATAATTTCATGCATTTTGTTCAAATTTCCTATTACTGGTGCTGCACGCCAGTATTTTCATTTTACAGAAAATAGAATTACTTGAACTTCTTTCTTGTGATTTCAGCGGTGAACAATTAGAAGGATTGCAAAATGCAGTAATACAGCAAATGATGGAAGACCCAATAGCATATTTAAAACGTTCCGTTGAAATTTTAATTTCAATTGATTCTAAATCAAATGCTTTTGTAAATACAGTAGTATTCCTCAACATTTTCTTTACAGAAAAGGATAGATTTGATACAAATTCTTTAGTTCAAACTAACAAAGAATTAATTTTTCACGTTTTGAACCAATTAATCAGTATTTTAGTCAATATTGATCAAAGTGTAACACCTTTATTTAACTCATTAATCGGAAATATACTCATTCATATTCCAGATTTAAATTTCATTTTTGATTTAATCCACAACCAGAATGAAAACGTGTTTGTTGCTGGATTCGAGTCATTTAAACGGGTGTTTAGCAGTTTATATCCTCAAGAAGCAAAGCAGGCTCTAAATACCATTACAAACCTTTTATTAAATGAAATTCAAAAAAATGAAAATGAAATATTTTTGGAAAATCTCTTTTCTACATTCAACACTGCATTTAGAGGATACCCACGTACAATTAGCAATGATGTTCTAAATGAGCTGTTATCATTCAGCTTGAAAAACTCAAAAAATTCGAATTTTTTAAATCCAATTTGTGAATTTCTCAAATCAATCATCGATGTTCTCCCTGTTTTTGCTACATCGATCACTGAATACATAACAAACATATTTATTGAGGTAGGATCATTGAATATCATCAAATCTTCTGATTTTTTAATTGATTTTTTCAAATCTGTAGAAAATGATCGAGAGCTACTTGTTTTTGACTCAATGTGGCAGACTGTTTTCAATTTTATACTAGAAAGTGTGAATTTGGACAATTTTGAAGTTTTATCAGATTTAATTTTTTCAATGTGCGATTATTTTGAATACCAAAGCTGTTTATGCATTGAAAACTTTACTGGTCTTCTTGATACTGAAAATTATTTACGATCTTCGCTAATTATTAAATTTATTGATCATTCTCTAGAATACTCAAGAGATTTAGAACAATATTATCAATTTTCTATGATTTTAACCAATTTTAATATCTCTTCTTCTATTCATTACTTTGGATCTCTTTTAGATTTTTCTGATGACCAAATTTTTTTAGAATTTGCATGCAATATATTTAATAATATAGAACCATCTGAATTTATAGATGTTACTGATATCCAAAGGCTTGGTTTTAAGATTATAAAGCAAAATCCGGATGATTTCAGCGTTGCGTTGAAAATATTTCAATTGAGAAGCTTTGATAACTCAGAAACATATAAATATACTAAAAAGGTAATGAATGAAGCATCATTTGAAGTTTCTACAGAATTAATTCAAATAATCAAAAATGAATATTATTCTTTTTATATTCAAGACAGAATTTTCCTCACAGAAGCAATTTTGCAGTATCTAGATACAAACAAAGAACTCCTTTCACCAGAAATTTTTGTTGAATTTGGAAATTTATTTTTGAATGAGAATAACTTTACAGAAGATTACTCTCATCAATTTTCTATTCCTATTTCATACTTTGTTCGCAACTGTGGGCAGCTATTTGAATCGAATTATCCTTCCTGTATAGAGTTAGCAATAAATTGCTTAAAAATTGAAGATGGTTTTGAGCAAATCTTAGATGGTGCTATTTTAATTGATGAATTGATTAAAGAAAATGCAGTTCCTCAAGAATTTTTCGCAGAAATTGTTCAACAACTGTCAAAATACACAATTGACAAAAATCTAAGATGGATAACTCGTGGATCATGTTATTTAGCAATATGTGATATATATAAGTCTCTAGATATTGATGAATTTTTTGTGAATTTATTTAATGAAATTTATAGTCAAAAAGAAGAGCTTTTTGATCAAGATTTAATTGATGATTTAGAAACAACTGATGCTATTATCTCTCTTTTGCTGTCTCTCATTCAAATTTCCAAATCAAACCAGAATTATTTGCAGAAACTATTAGAGTTAATTGTTTGTATATCTAAGTTTGACGAATATCCTGAAAACTTGCTTAACTTCTTCCTTCAAGCGTTGATTTATTCATTCGTCCAATGTAGGGATGAAATTAATAAGATTATTCAGCAAAATCCTCAGATTAATGAAATTATAATGAAATCTAAGAATATATTTCCATCAATTTACAATATTATTGTAGATTTATCACTTTATGATAGCAATTGATAAATAGATATATATATATAATACATTTAACGTTTCATGGTCTTTTTTCGATTAAAATTATTTCATGAAATATGGATTTATCTAAAAAAGAAAACAATAAAGGAGATAAAAAATTAACAATAAAATTGGTATCCATTGCAAGAACAATCCCAACATTCTCAATAAAAAGCAGTGTGGCTTAGCAGCTGGAGTGTATCCCGAAAACCGAAGCAGATTAAAAATTATTTTGCGATTTTCACTATTATTTGAATATTGAATTGCATAATCAAACGCAGTTTTTCCTTGATTATTTACTTCATTGAGTTTTACACGAATTTCAACTAAATATTCAACAATATCAAGAAATCCCTTCTGCACAGCAAAATGAAGAGATGTATTATTATTAGTTGTTTTATCGTTTTTATTGCAACCGCATTTTATTAGATATTTGACTATATTTAGATATCCTTTTTTTGATGCAAGAATTATTAGAGATTCACCATCATAATTTTTGACTTTGGGATCTACTCCAACTGAAATGAGATACTTAAATATTGCAAGATGGCCATTGAATACTGCGATCATTAATGGTGAATATTTATAAAGCGTAAATTGATTTGGATTTGCTCCCATAGAAATAAGGTATTTGACAGTTTCAAGATGACCATTTAGTGATGCAAAATAAATGCAATTATAATTACTATAATTTGACGAATTTACATCACAGCCAATACTTATCAAATATTTCACTACTTCAAGATGTCCCCCAGATGAAGCAGCCAAAATTGCTGTACTACGCTTGGATATCTTGCGCCAATTTTTGTCAATCCCAATTGAAATCAAATATTTGACAATCTCAAGATGTCCTGCGAGTGATGCTTCAAATAAACAATTTCCCTCATTATAATTTGTGTAGAGGCGATTGCATCCTCCTTCAATAAGAGATTTAGTTAATTGATAATCTCCATTTATACATGCAGCAATAAGTGGAGTGTTTCCATTTCCATCCATTATTTCACTTAATCTAAGCAAGCATGAATTTCTAATCATCATTTTATCTCCCTTATCTGAAATTGCTTTCAGAAAACTGTATACTGCGTCAAAATTATTTGAATTCTTTAATGAAAAAAATGTTGTAAAATCATTAATTGTTCGGGTTAATTGTTCATTTGTATTTTGCAATGTTGAAATATCTCTTTTTAATTGTTTGATTTCATTATCTTTTGTACCATCTGGCTTATGTTTCTCTAAAAACTCTATCAAAGATTGCGATGATTCTAGTTGATAAAATTTTTTGTAGAAATGAAGAATGTCTAAAACATCATCAAAGCTATTAACAGTAACTTTGGGAGATTTATATTTTCCCTTCGAAAGATGTTCATTAAAGCTCTTTGAATCATTCTTAGCTTTCTCGATATCTTGTTGGGAAATGTTTTCATCAACGACATCATTAAAGATTCCATCCTCAATAAATGAATTGACATTATTAGAAATTTGATTTATATCATTAGTATGTTCATCTGACATCAAATGTGAATTAAACTAAGGTTTTTAGAACGATAATATTCAATTTAAAATTTTGAATTTACAACATCTTTTCTAGGATTTTTTATTTGATTCATTAACCATTGGATTTCATTATTCATGTAATTTGATATTTTATGAGTTGTTAATATATGACAACGTTTCCAAATTGTGAGAGTTTTAAATTTTCAAATCAGATTTTGAGTGGATTTGTAAATTCTATCGTTTCTAATTGATTTCTTAAAAATGCCATAAAAAGTAATCTCTTCTTGTTTTCATGAGCTTTTATAAATTAACATTAGATTTCCATTTGAAAATGCTAAAAATTATTGAATCCGAAAAAATGCAAAATGTTATTTAAGTTTCAGTGCTTTACATAAGTATTAATTTTATTAAAAACATGATTTTTACATGGTACAACAATAATATCATATTAATTTCTTATTTGGACATAGAATCCAAAAGTTCTCTTCCTTTTTGAGTGAGATTCATTTTTACAAGTCTATCCTTTTTGATAGAAATACGACGTGTGGGCATTGTTCTGATGATTTCAGATCGATATTTTGATCTACCTTCAAAATCACTTTCGCTTTCTGTTGTTGATGATTCTGTTGTAAATGGATGATAGTTTATATTATTATTTAATGATATTGGTCTTCCATTATGGAAATGTGTATTTTCTAAAATTGTTTGTGGTTTCTTTTTCTGTTGGTAAGTAAGCGCTAACGGTGTTTCATGCTTAATAGCTTGTGGTTGAAAAAACAATGAATTGAAAGCCTCTCTTTTATAAGGACTTCGAGTATCATTTTCCAATTGCTTGTCTAATTTTGATGCAGGGGCAGAATTTATTTGAATAATCCTATCCCTTTCAACTTTTGTAACGAAATCATGATCAGATTGTGGTGCATAAGTGTTGCAAAAAGTTTGAAGTGAAAAATTGGCTGTGGATGGATCAGGTTGTTTAGTAGAACCGAGTTCTGGGAAGAAATCTCTTTGTATTATTGATTTTATACTGCTGTCAAATTTTTTATCATCAATGATCTGTTTTTCCATAAGTATAAAATGAGTTATTAAGGATGCACTCTCTAGTAAAAAACCATGTGATGAACATATATCCCTATAACAGCCAATATTAAGGAAGTAATTCTTTATTTAAAAAGATTAATTATATGAAATTGGCTCAATTCATACCATTAGAAGAAATCAGAGGCAGAGGAATGCCCTATATCATTAGCAGAGAATCATTTCTGAAATAAAATCAAAAATTTCCACTCAGATAATTAGATATGTGGGAGTTAAGTGTCCTTGCTCAACTGTGAATTGTAATACTAGGAAATGACTCTAAATCGAAGATTGGCGCGAAAAATTGTGTATTCTGACGATTATTTCCTTTGTAATTTTCAAAGAATCTTGGATGCTTCCTTTTCCCGTTGATCATGCTGTCAAGATAATGAATAGGCTATCAGAGAAGCAAACATCGATTCTATTTTCTCGTCCAGTGGACCCACAAGAAGATGATTGTCCAGATTATTATAAGAAAATCAAAAAGCCTATGGACCTTGGAACAGTTAGACAAAAGATTGATTCTGGTAGATATAAAACAGTTCATGAATGGCGCGCTGATATGGAATTGATTTTTTCAAATTCATTAAAATACAACGTACACAGTCCTTATCTAATAGCAATTACAAAAGATCTTCGCGAAAGATTCAGAGAATTATCAAATGAACTCAGTGATTTTCCAGAAACTGACTGGTTTACTAGACTTAATCGCTTGGAAACAGAATTACATGAATTAATTCAAAATCCTCCAGATAACTATACAGCAAGAGTTAGACACACTAAACTTCAAGCCCCTCTAACAGATGATCAGAAATCCAGGCGAAAAGTTCGTCCTCCTACAAATGACGAGATTCAAAGGCTTACACGCGATATTCATAACATAAATAATGAAGCACAGTTACGCCAGATTTACAAAATACTCGTGGATAATGAAAACTCTGTTTCGGATAAGAAAGATAATATTGATGTGAACATGAATGGTCTTCATGCTCAAACATACTACGAATTAAGATATAAGGTTGATGCTTTCCTTGAAAATTGTAAATAGATGTTAAAATATTAATAAAATACTTCTTTGTTTCAGTTTTACATATGTACATCCATTGTTTATGTTGGCATTGAATATTCTTACTTAATTTTCACAATTATATTGATAGATGAATATGATCTGAATTTCAAATTGTTAAATTAGAATATATGGTCATAAAAATGTGAAATACATTTAAGCTAAGGATTGTTTACTTCACGATCTATTAATGTTGACAACTTGATTGACACTTATGCATTATATCCTAATTTTCTATGATATAAAGTTAATATTTTTGATCGGGAAAAAGTTATTATAATTCATTGCCTAGTACATCATATGGCAGATATACTTTTTTGTTATTTAAATAAAGATATGTTGATATTATGAGAGTAATAATTAAACTCTTTTTCCTACATAAAGTCTACGATTCGTACTCCTCGCCTCAATGTTGAGTAAAATCCTTTCAAAGCAATTTGAAGACAATAATATACCATGTTAGCATATTAACTGTACAAAGTAAGAAATGCTCAAATGGGTCCTTTCTTTTATTGCATGTTATATTACTGTTTTCATTAAATGGAAATAAAATGATAATTTAAACTTTCAATAAAAATAAAATAAAAAGATTTTATTCAAATTCTACAGTTAAATAGGGCGAATCTGAGTTTTTGAGTTTTTCAATATAGTCGTCATATTGAATTGATTTAATGGATGTGAAAAATTCTTTGTTCTTTTCGAAAACTTTATCAAACTTAGCATCGAGTTCATCAATAACATCGTTGTAATTTTTGCTTTGATCTCTTGTGATATATTCCATCCTTTTCATAATCAAAAGTTTCGTTCCATAGTTACCATCTTTCTTGAAAAATACATTCATAACCCATTGATCATATGATGTAAAAGTTTCGCCTGTTCCATCTTTATTTTGATTTAAGAAAATGATTAAAGCGGCGTCTTTCATTTTGTCGAAAATGATTTTCAACAAAATTGAAGAAAATTTGATATGACTGATTGTACATTTCAGATATTTTCTATTATTATAATGGCTATTGAGAGCATCAATAGCATCCTTTGGTTTATCCTTCAAAACTTTCTTGACAAATTCTGCATCTGTTGGGATCCTCTTTCCGAAAGCAAGTTGGAAAGTTTTTACAACAGATTGGAACCATTCTTCTGATGAATTGTAGAATTTTGCAACTAATGCATATCCAAGGCGTTGCCATTCATTTTCAATTGCAGCTGCATAAGAATCAAAAATGATTTTATCATTAAATCTTTCAATGCATTTTGAAATGTGATTTTTTGTTTCTTCGAGTTTTTGTTTGTAAATTTGTAACAATTTCAATTGTATTTCTGGTCTTTCTTGTTTGATTCTTTGAAGGAATTCTGCTTCTTTATGATCAGCTGTTATTGATTTCCATTTCTTCTTTATTTCTTTAGTTTCCTCATCTTCTTTTTCAGAATTTCCTCCCAAACTTTGTCCTCTAAATAAAGGTTGTCCAAACTTAAAGAAATAAAGCCTTGTTTCTGGATTTTCTAAAAGAACTTTGATTTTAGGATCATTTGAAAGAAATGCTGCATCATAAGCAGAAGACAACAAGTCCTTTTGTGTATCATCTTTTGTGAAATCAAATGTTTTTTGATAAACTTGTAAATCAAGTTTTTCTTTTGTTTCTTTCGAATCTACTTTGAATTTAAGTAAATCTTTGCCTGGCAATAAAGGAGAGTACTTCCAAGTGATGTTTAGGAATGAAGCAACTTTCGTTAAGAGTTTGCCAAATAACTCTTCATTGTCAACGATTTTTCCAAGTGCTTGTTGTTGAATTTCATGCATAAATGGAATTGATTCGTTAAATGCTTTCCTAAAGTCGCCAAATTCGATCAGGAACTCGTGAAGATTGTCAATGAAAACAACATCGTATAAAATTAATGAAAGAATGAGGTCAACAAGGTAATCCAAATCATTTGAAGAATTTGCATCTTCAATTAACTCCATAAACTTTCGGATAGAGTATTCGTTCCTGAAATAAATGAATCCACTTGGTAAAGTTGCCAAAGTAAAGTATTCCTTATCATATTCGTTTGTATATTTTTTGTATTGTTCCTTAAACTTCTGGATATTGTTCTGAAACATCTCCTTGAATTGATCATTTTCGTTATCTTTAGAAAGAATCTGAATTCCACAAATAGGGAAATCATTATTGTTATATTTGATTGTCTTATCAAAGAAATGGTTATTTTCAAGCAGTTCTTGAATGGTTGCAATGGGATTTTTTGTTTCATCTTGTTTCATCATTAATTTAATGCGCATAAGTAAAGGACAATCTATTAAAAAGATACGTTCTTTTTCTATTATAACTCTCACCGCTTTATCCTCGATTTTGTGAGTAAATATTGAGGTTGATGCGCTCAGCTTATTAATTTCCTCTTCGAGAACTTTTATCTCAGACATACAGGAAAAATAATGATATTAGTTGGAAAATTTATCCATTTTTTTCAAAGGCATTGTTACAAAAAAAATCCAAAATCCAATTCTTCTACTAATTGTTTATGTTAAATCTAGAAATTAAAAAGATTTCTTGAAATGAAATTCCATGAGATTCAATAATTCGGAGTAATAATATTGTAATACTTTAGTATTTTAGATCCATTGATATTATCAGTTACTTGCTTAAGTGTATTTCATTGAAAAAAAATGATATTTTATTATTTTTCCGAAATACTTTCAATTTTACAGTTGAATTGAAAATTAATACGGCAATAATATTAAACTAATATACAAAATGTATTATTAATGAAGAACTAACACGAGAAAGAGTATTTCTAACATTGAAAAGTCAAAATATGAAAGAATATCAATTTATTGAATATTCAATATCATAAAATCTTAGAATATCATTACACTGTTTGAAATATAGGTTATGCATGTGAAAAGAGAAAGAGTTAATATCATTATATATTAAAAATAAGAAATCTGTCTGTACGTTAATTAATATACTAAATAATTCAATAGCAGTAGTTGTAGATAAGGCTATGTAGATAAATATATTTCATTCGTTGTAGAATTAACAATAAAAACAAAAACATTTTATTGGATATATAACAAAATAATAACAATTTCGAAGAGATCTATTGCATGATCTTGCGTAAAAGTTCCGCAGAAACATCGTAATTTTGTTTAGGGCGTGTGGAATAAAAACTAGGATGCACGGTATTCACTGATGTATAGGAAGGTGCTGGATTTTGATATTGAAAGCGAGGCATATTCGTTTGCTTGGTGTAAATATGCTGTGTGTTAATTGTGTCTATGTTTTCTTTGCCGTAATATGCGTTGCTCATCTGTATTTTAATTTTGGATAAACGTATGGATTTTCACTTTTACCCATTATTATAAAATCTTTCGAATTTTTTCAAAAGATATGTGATCCTTATATAAAATCACTAAGATTTTTACGCAAGGACATCGCATGAACCGCTGTAAAAAAAAAATCTCAATTAAAATCAACCGTGAATGCCATTTTTGATCGGAAAAACATGTTGCCTGGTAGATATTGTAGTATTTTTTGATATTATTAACTGAGCAATAAAAAGTGTCATTATTGATAAACTTGAAAATTTTCTTGTCAAATATTTTCAAATGGCTGAGGAAGTAAAGCATTTGGAGCCTAAATGCACGCACATCAAATACTTTGACATTCATCTGCCAACTAGTCCTGCCGATACAAAGATCGTTGCAATCTCTGATCTACATGTTGGGCAATTTGAATCTACTGCTAACAATACGCCAAAGATGGTTGACAAGATTCGAGAGCTTGTTGAAAAAGTCAAACCTACTGCTCTATTCATTCTAGGAGACATTATTCATTTCAAATTTTATCGTATTCCAACTTCATGGTTAGATTTTTACAGATTACTTGATACAATTAACATCCCCATATACGTGATTCCAGGAAACCATGACCGCTATTTGCATGATTATGTTAAAAACCATTTTCAAGGTACAAATGTACATTTATTGAACGTTGAAATTATGTGCGTGTATGTAGAAGGATATCCGCATCCTGTGATATTCGGTCACGACCTGAAAAACGATAAAAAAGTTCATGGTGACGAAATTACTCATGAATGGATTAGAATGCTTCGAGAAACATTCCATGATATTATCCCAGATGAATCTCTAATGGTTCTCGGTCATCTTCATGATTTTGTAATAACTCGTGATAAACAAAACGTTACTGTGTTGCCATTCTCATGCAGCCTTCACTGTTTCATGTATACAATTCTTACTCCTGGCGAGAATGGAAAGTTTGAGTATGTTTGTAAATTTCTTAAGGAGTAAATAGAATTTTTATAATTTGGTAGCTTTCTAATATAATTATAACACATTGATATGTTGTTCGTTCGACTTTTTTGAAAAATTTCAAAAATATTTTTCAAAAAAAGAAATATTTTGATTCCTTAGTCTTGATATCACTATGATTTGTTGTTTTTAATAGTAAATTATCTTTTAAAAAGTAAATTTGAAAAATTATTTTAAATTTTTATTGAAAATAGTCGAATCCTTCGCCAATACCAAATTGTTCATCAAATGCAGACGGATTGAGCATGTATGTCTTAACAATCCAGCTCTTTAGTGTATAAACATTATCAGTCCATCTATTTGCGGACTCAAGTGCTTTCTTTGTATATTCTTGGGTTTTTCTGATAGCATTTGGATTCAATGAATCATATTTTGCTGATTCTGCTTGTATTGATGCTAATTCTTTTCCAAATTTTTCAACAATTTCATCTAATTCTGTTCTTTCTTGGCAAGGTTCGCGTCCTGGCTCTAAGTCAGCTATTTCTGCCTGCAATCCTGATATCTCGGACTCTAATTCTGTAATTTGTGCTTGTAATTTTCCTTCTAAAACTTTTCTTCTATTAAAGGCCTCTGATGGAAAGCACCAATAGAAATTTCCGCTACCAATCTTCTCAAATGATACAAGATCGTTATCACAGAGCTCCTGTAATATCTCTTTTACACTCATTGATGTAATTCCTTTCTTCTTTGGGCAATCTCTCTCCAAATCTTTCAGGGTCCATATATCTTGGCTTTCCATCATCAATTCTTGCATTGCTAGAAGCTTTTCCTCACGAGACATGCCTTTCTTGCGCGACATTTTTCGAAAAATGAAAAAAAAAATTTCAAGAGGGAACTTCCCTATTCTTCTCAATTTTATATTCCCTGTGGAAGTAGAAGAGTTAATATAATTATCTGTATATACATATAATCTTTATAATTTTTTCAAGCAAAACATCTTACACAACCCTGAATTTTATTAGATCATTTTGAATTTTAGTTTTGTATGGATTTATGACTCCATAATTCTATCTTTTATCTGACGTTGAATACATTTTCATTCTGATAGAAGTGAATTTATGTAAAAAAATATGATCTAAAATTGATAAGGTCAAAGTCAATATCTATGTCTATAATATTATATGTTTCATGGATTATATAATATTGATGGATAAAATAAGCCAAACTGAAAGTGTTTGTATATTCAACTTTTGCATTTTTCCCTTAGTTTAAAAAGAGTATTGTTATCTACAATACTAAAAAAATATGAGTTACATAAAGATAGATAATAAATATTTAACAAGAAATTCTTTCAAGAATAGTATCACGTGATTGTCTTGATTTGTCTGGAATAAAAGACATATCAAAGACCTTGTTCAAGTCAATTGTTTTGAGCAATTGAAGGTATTTGATATTACCCGACATCACAAAAAGAAGATCTATAACAGGCTCTACGTATTTCCCTTCTGCATCAAAGTAGTAACTAATATTCTTGATGAAATCATCATATTCTTCGTAATAAATGTCATTTGACAATACTTGTCTTGAAATTTTTAAGAAGCAATAAACAATGTCTTCATTCTTAGATGCGTAGCAAGCAGAAATCCATTTCTCCATAACTTTGTCTTTGTGGAGTCTTGGCATCAGTTCATCGCCAATCAAATCAAATGATCTATTGATAAGTGAATTGACAAACTTGAGATATTTCTCATCAGGAGATGTGACCAGTCTCTTCATAAATTCAGTGAAATAATTGGAATTTATCATCTTGAGCCTGTTCTCTTGGCGAGTGAAGTTTACACAAAAGATTCTCAACGAGTTCTCAAGATTAGGACTGAAATTTTCTGACAACCAAATGCATTTTTGGCAAACAACTTGAGAAAGAGTAGGATTTGATGAAATCTTGGCCAAAAGCAAAGCAGCAATTTCATCCTTCGCGCAATAGTCAATGATCTGTATAATGACTTCTTTTTCGACCTTGTAAATCGATTCTGTGGCTGTCAAATACATAATAACGTATTTTCTGATATCATGGAATTTCAAATTTACTAATAATAATTCTGTTGGAATATCGATTGCCAATTTCAAGTCAATCAAGCAGCTGTAGACATTCGCAACAAGAAGTAAGTCATTGGTGAACATCAAATGTCCGAAAATTTTCGTGATTTTGTCAGTAAACTTTTCAATGATTTGTTTTGAACTGTTTTTCAAAAGATAATATAAAATTCTGACCAATTTCAAACCACCTCCAAGTTTGATAAGATGCAAGCTAATATCAAGGAATGTCTCAAGTATAGGAATTGGATCATCCATGTAAACCAAATTTGACACGTAAACAGAGAAAATTCTTAAAACCTGATTGATTTTGTATTTTGACATTGAAAGAATTGTCTTTGCTTTTTCAACTGTCATCAAATTAGGATTCATTGGAATAGCGTATAATAGTAATCTTGCAGACAAATCGAATAAGCATGGTGTGTGGAGTGGAAGATTTTCTGGAGCGTCACTTTTTGAAAATGGTTTCCAAGCGTTTTGATTTTGTTCAACCAATTTCAAAACAGAATCTAATGTGAATTTGCAAATATAAAGAGGAATTGGGGGAGAAAACAAAAGAGATGCAATAGAAAAGAAATCTTTGCAGTTTGCCTTGTTCAGCTTCCACATTGTTTTGTTGAATAATGTTTCAAAGTGAGGTGATTTATAATCAAGTAAATTATCAACATTTGTTGATCCAAAAGTGCTTCTACTGAATGGAGATTGAACATTTTCCATCTCAAGGAATACGTTGACAAGCTTACCGTTTTCATCATATTTAGGTGGCTGTGGTTGCATGAAAACTGATGGTTTTGGTATTTCTCTTTCAGGATAAGTGTAGTTCAAAGGATCTTCCAATTCAAATGATGGTTTAATCTGTTCTTCAAATGGTGATTCTGGGATTTCTGATTCGAGTGGCTTCAAACCATCCATGTTATCGAATTGAGGAAGAATTAAAGATGTGGACATTGCTGTCATTGAATTTGTCTTCTTAACTGTACATATTGAAACAATCCTCTCAATTTCTTTGTCATTTCTTTCTTCTGGTAACTCAAATGTACTGATTTTGTTTATTTTAACTGTTGGTTCTTGTTTCTGTTCAATGACTGACTCGCCCAACTGTGCATCTGTGAAATCAGATGGAGGGACCATTTGGAAACTCAATGGTGTTTCAGAGGCGTTTTTGAAGAAAGAACCGGATTCATCGTCGTCGGCTTGTAAATTTGAATCATTTTCAATGGACATGTGTGATTGTGCTCTCTTTGTGAGTTTCTTCCTTTTACCTCTTACATTATAGTCCTCGGAAATGGAGAAAGAAGGCATTTCCATGACTTCTTCGTCAAAATTGTTTTTATCTTCTGGTTTTTTAACTTTCTGGATCTGAGATTCTGTATTTGCACTCTTTAATTGCTTCTTAAGGAATGGACTTGGCATTCTTCCTTTCTTTTGGAAATAATCTGAATCATATAATTTGAAAAATTCTTCCATTTGACTTTCATCTGTATCTGGGAAATATGCCTTTCCATTTCTGATTGTATCCATGATATCGGCGAACGTTGGCCGCAACTTTGGATTTTTATGCCAACATTGAGTCAACAAATTCTTGAGTTTTGTTGTACATTTCTTGGGGATTGGTGGTCTTTCATTCTTTGTGCATACAGCTGCAATAAGCTGTGGTGCAGAATATCCTTTATACGGTCTTTCTTCGCTGATTAATTCCCATAGTAAGATTGCAAAGGAATAAATATCAACTTTATTCGTGTAATCATTGGAACTGAAGACTTCTGGAGCCATCCAGTGAGGAGTACCAATCATTTTCGTCATTAATTGATCGCTGTCCGATTTCACTCTTGAAATTCCGAAGTCGCAAATATGAGGATAAAGCTTGCCATCAAGTAATACGTTTAACGATTTGAGATCTCTGTGAATTACATCATGTTCGTGTAAGTATTGCATTCCTGATGCAATGCAAAAGGCAATAATTGTCTTATTTGTTGGTGTAAGTTGAGGAGCACCTTCTTTATGGAAAATCGCTGAATGTAATGAACCTCGTTTGATATATTTCATTGCTATTATGTATGGTGATGAAAAAGAAATGCCATAGAATGGAATTAAGAAATAATTTCGCGCTCTAGAAAGAATTTTGATTTCGCGATAAAAGTTATGGATTTCTGCTGCTGTAAAAGTTTCGGAAAGGAACTTTTTAACTGCGCAAACAGCACCAGTTGCCAAATGATGAGCTTGATATACTTCGCAAGTAGCTCCTTTTCCAACAGTGCTTAATATTTTGAACTCATCCAAGCGCACTTCGACCGGGCGGAGATGCTCCAAGCGTCGAACTAGCTCGTCTTCCATAAAAACTTAGTCTGAAATCTAAAAAAAAATCTAGTTGCAAAAGTTATTAACTTGCATAGGGCTAAATATATTTACATTTTTTGAGATTTAAATTTTTCAATAGAAAAATAATCGTTTTTATTGTAAATAAAAGATGGCAACAACAATACCGCTTGATCTTTTATATGCAACATCATCAGATGAGTTTTATCCTCCAACAAATGCCCTTGATCCAGATGAAACAACATTCTGGACCACAACTGGCCTCTATCCTCAAGAATTGGTAGTAAAGTTCAAAAATCCAGCACAAATTGTCAGAGTTACAACAATCACAGGAAAAGTTCGTTCTGTGACACTTTTTGCTGCAACAGATGTCGAATGCACCCAATGGGTTGAAATTGATTCATTTAATCTTCCTGCCCAGCCAATCAAGCAACAAGAAACACATCAACTTAGTCTTAAAAACGCTACTTATGGTGTAAAACTTGTAATCAACCAAGGTTGGGGCCCCTTCACAGCACTTTACTTATTAAAGATCGAAGGAGTTACTGTTCATGAAAATGCATAGATGTTATGATATAAAGTATTGAGAATGTTCATACTTACTTTATGAAAATGTTAATAACTCGATTTTTCCGTTTTTTATTTTTCATCTGAAATATTCTTATTAAATCTTACTATCACATTGTATTGTGTTTTAGGAATTAATTTTAATTATATGTCAAACTGTTCTTAGGTTGATGTAAAATGTAATTTTAAAAAAATTTAAGGTGAGACAGTATAATTACGCGTTGCATATAACTGCCTTGGCAGTAATAAGAGTAAATTAAAGTAATCGATGATTCTCATATTATCAATATTAAATACAAGATTTTGATTAAAAACAAGATTGCTTATAAAGGTAGTATATTTGTTGTAATTGACATAAGCTAGTTTCGCTATAATAATATGATTTTATCATAAAAATGGACAGAAAGAAACACAAATTTAGCTAATGTTATATCATTACGCCATAAACACTAATAATTGCATACATTGTTGTGTTTTCCCATCGTACAGTAACTGATGAATCGGTAGTTTGATCCCAGTATGTAGAAGCAGCTAAATGTAAACCAGCGCCTGTCTTCTGCATAATAACGCATGTAGACACATATTTAAATGGCTTGTTTTGAGCACAAAGTCGCTTAGTGCAGTCCTCAACAATAGAAGAGCACCATTGATTTATCATCTGAGGTTTAAAATCCTGATTTCTTAGCATTGTTTCAATACTGTCTTTAGCAACTGATTTTACATATTCGCTATCAAATGAAAGCTCTTCTGTTGCTGCATTCATTTTAAAATTTCAGTTATTTATATGTTTTTGCTTGTAATTTAATTGTTGCATGTTATTGATAATAAATGTTTCATTTATTTGAGAAAGCAAATAATAACGTATAAAAATAATCGTCAAAATTTTAGTTCAGAATAAAGTTTTCTGGTTAATTATTCTTTGAAATTCAGTATCTATATGTCATATGTAATAGAATTATGACGCGAAATTAAGCAATTTCCTCATGAAATCATTCGATTTAACAAAATCACATAAAATATGACTATAAATTATTTCTCCAAACGAGATCCTTAATATCCAGATTCATCTTGTGATAATGCTGATGTTTTTCATTGCTCTTGAAGTTATTCGATTTAAATTTACATTTTTAGATATTCTATTTAGAATATAATGTAAAAATCGCATGTGTGCTCAACTTACTCCATTAAGAACAATTTGGTATTTTCGTGAATCTTGATTTAAAAAAAAGTAGTAGTACCGGATGGGTTGTGTGACTTTTTTTGTAAACGTAAGAATTCATACAATATCGAACGATTTTGTATCATTTTTTTAACACATTATTTTTAAAATAATTTATTTTTTTATTCTTACATAAATGACACAACAAGTAAAACCAGATAAAATAGATTATCGAATTTTAGAGGATGGTGTTCCTGTTTATATTCAAAGATTTAAAGGGAAGCAATATTATAGAATTGTTAATCCTGAATATCTTAAACATTTATTTAAAAAGGAAGACTGTGAATTATTAAACGCTAATGAATATGAAAATGCTAAATCAAAACTGAGATATAAATATATTGGAAGTGATGAAAGATGCAAAGATAAAGATAAAGTTTATTCAGTTTCATATAATGAATGGAAAACCAATAAGATAAGAAAACATTTAGGAGATTATGGTAAAAGTTCCGAATTCTTCAAATCTAGTATGTATGAGAGAGTAAAAGAAATCAGATATAATTATTTTCATGAATGAAAAATAAACTTTAAAAATTCATGTCTTACATTTTTGAATAATTTATTTTTTATTTCGTAAGAAATGAGTGTCAAGACCAACGACGTTAAAAATTGGGATTCACAAATGAGGAAATAAAGGATATATTAGATGAGGCGGGTTATGAGGTTGATAAATATTATTTAAGAAATTGTCAAAAATTCGCGGAGTTTTTAAATGAGTTTGATTATGATGGAAAAATGAATAAAGATGATGTTATAAATTTCTTATATCCCACATCTAAAGAAGAAAAACCTAAAGAACCTGATGTTTTCCCTGAATATTATGAAGAACGGATTAAAGATGATGATGAATACAATGAAATTGAAAGACTGGAAAAAATAAGAGATGAAATAGATGAAAAAATTAAGGAATTAAGAGAAGTTGAAAATGAAGTAGAGGGTTTAATGAATATCCCAGCTTCAGAATCAGCAGTTCAGAAATCTCATGAAGAAAGATATAAAAATTATGTCTCAGAATCAACACAAAATTTATTAGAAGTTAGTATGACTATCTTCAGTACTGTGGCACTGCGCGCCATCTTACTGAAGATATGTCAATCTGACACTTTACAAAACCGTTAACGTATATTTTACAACACAACCATAACACCAACTTAACCTTAAATATTTACAAAGCCGCCAACCACTAACGACTTCACTAACGACTTCACTAACGACTTCACTTAATAAAAATAACCTTATTTTTATTTTTTTTTAAATTTTTTATTTCATTACAAAGACATGTCCGACTACATTTACTATGACTCTTTCCCAGAACGTTTCCGTGAACTATTCAAAACTCAAGTAAAACTGAGAAACATGCATTTTAACAAAGACAGACCCATTGACGATGAAAGAAACCCTGAATATATTACAATCCCATATGACGCAAAATTCATTGCATACATTCCTTATGGTCGCAGAGGAACGAAAACTATTTCAACAAAGAACAAAAATTATTTCTGGAGCAATGAAGAAAATTGCCTTATCTACATAAATGCATACTTAAATAAAGCTACATATTGTACAAAAGAAGGTTGGACTGGATTTGAGCTCTACATATACGACGACGATGGAAACAGACGTTGTGTATACCCATACGATAATATGTACCATTGTTTTCATCAAGCATTAAACGAATACATAGTCAGTAAGGGTCTCATTCCTGTTGAGTAGATATGCTTTATTTTTGTTCTGTCATTTATATAAAAATAAAATAAAAAATAAACTTAAAAATTAATGATATCACCACTCCCACGCGTATGAAAACATAGCACAAAAATATATTTTAGGTGAAGAGGTGAGATCTCACCTCTTTTCTCACCTCTTTTTTCACCCTGTTGAATTCATTGCTTTATAACTCTCTTCCTTTCTCCAACTCTTCTAACTTCTTCCTAAGTTTAGCAATGTTGTCCTCATGAAGTTTAATCTTTCTCAAAATTCCTTCTTTATCTAATGGTTGCTTTATCTTTCTAAACTGAACTCTACCATCCTTCATAGTATGAATGTAAAAACCTTCTGGAATAGTTCCTGATTTAATGTATTCTACCAAAAACTTTTGTTTCATTGCTTCAGTGACTTTATTTGTCATTTCAATCAAATAAAAATTTTAATATTAAATAAAAAGAACGTTATTTTTTTCAGTAAGGAAACGCAGGAGTTTTACGATTTATTTGAGGAGTAGGTTCTGGTTTAAATGTTCGAGTCGGTTTAGGAGTTGACTTTTGAACAGGAGTTTGTACTTCCATAGGTTCAGGAGTCATTGAAGGCGTTGGTTTTGGCGAAGGTGTCGGAGTTTGTTTAACTTCAGCTACTTCAGTATTATTTACAACATTTGCTTTATTTCTTTTCAACATCCTTACTGCTCCTGCTGTAGCTAGCAAACCTAGTGGGAGACCATATCTTATATAAGGACTTGACCAAATGCTATTTTTGACAGGAGCTGGTGGAACACCTAACCTTGGTGAAACTGCTCTTTGCCATTGTGCAGCTCGTAAGAAATATTCAATAGGTGCTCCATAATCGTTTGGTAAAGTTTGTTTCATAGATGGTGAAGGTTCACGAGAGCTTGATGAAGAACTCATTTATAAGCTTTAAAAATAAACGTTCATCCTTTATTCCTCACTGTCGTCAGCTGCTAAGTTATAGTCATCTAATCTTATTATTGGTATGCCTGACTGTCTTACTTGTATGGCAAAGCAACAATCCCTCATAAATCCAATAAGTGGCTTTGGTACATTTTCAGTTGCTAGTTCAATAGGTCCTTTAACAGACAATTTGTATGTTATTGGAGCAGTAGATGTTTGACCTTGCTGGAAGCAAAAGTCCACTTCTGTTGGAAAACCACATAAGAAATGTGTGTTGTCATAGCTATCCCATTTATGTTCCACACTACCATCATCCACCAATGACCTCATAACATCTTCATTAAATCCTATCATATCATTGTTTGTATTGCAAGCGTTCGCAACCATTTCATAAAAACAGGTCCATATGATTTTTCAGGTTCTGCAGGCATATTTCCATAAGCTCCCATGGAAAGCTGAAGATATTTAAACTTAGGGTTCTCAAAAATTAACATAATAGTTGTCTTTCTTTCTAAATAGTGCCCAAATACTTTTAACATTAATAGGCGTATAAGCTGCTGTAAATGTTGCACTTGAACTATCTGTATTCTTTGAGAATGAACCGTCCATAGGAATCCAATCCATAACTTTAACAGGAAAACATAAAGCCTCGTTTGTATAATGTTCTACAAGTTCTGTATAAATGTTAGGGTCTAAAGAGAATGACTTTGGATGAATGAAACATTCATTAAAATCCATCTTTGTTCGAAATAGTTGCTGGTTACAGTTGTAATAGTAACTGTTCCACTAGCTTCTACTGACTTCGTTATCATAGTGAATGGTTCATTCCATGGAACAAATTTATTTGTCGGTGGATTTGAATCTGAAGCAAATGCAACTTTAAGAGTTGGATTGAAAGCAATGATATCATTTACAGATATAGATGTGCATTGTAAGGCGTCGCTACTGAACTTTACTTTAAGCTGAATGTTTCCTGCAAAAGCTGGAATAAATCGAATAGCTTCTAATGGAAGGAATCTTCTAACAGGAATTCTTAAACGAAGCTTAAAATCAAATGATTTTCCTGCTGTAATTGGACCACTAACAATTTGTCCTGTTCTGCATGTTCCCGAATGACTCCATACATCTTCATGTCGAGTCTTTGAGAAAACATCTACTTTCTTTATTTGTTCGGTAGTTTGTGAGTTTGAAGTTATATATGCTTCTTCTCTTGCGTTGTCTTGAGAATATACGATACGACCATTTGCAAGGATTTGATATCCAGCAACTGCATAGAAAGCGTCATCGAAACCAATCCAAAATCCTGGTGGGTTTGTTTTATTGGAACCTGAACCAATTTCTTTATCTACAATAAATTGACCTTCCATTTTATACGTAATGAATGTATTGTAAAGGTCCAACATATTTTCACCAGGAGGTGAGAGATTGAATGTTACCCATGTGTTATCTTTAGCAGTTCCAGGTTGTGATGGAATCTTTGCGTCAGAATATTTTCTATTAGTGTCACCAATTTGAACTGCATTGTCTATGATATCGAAATATGAGCGAATCTGATGAATATGCTCTGCTGGAGTAAATTCGTTTAACTGTTCGTTCTGCATGTATTTACTTCAGATAAAAATATCTATTTACTTCATTATTCTCACTCTTCTTCTTGGCATTCGTGGTGGAAGTTGTTTCTTGACATTTTCAATGAACTGTACATTCTCTTTTGTCTCAACTTCTTTCACTGGCGGGTCAGGATTCTTTGACTCGGTTTGTTTTTCAATGAAATTCACGAACTTTGCATAAGCTCTTGGTTCGTTATTGAAAGTACATCTGGCTTCTTTTCTTCTGTTCTTTTGGTGGCTCAGTTTGAACAGAAGGTTTTATATGGGCTTCGTGGACTTCACCCTTGCCATGCACCTTAATGTTGTCGCTTTCTGCATTCGCTAATGGAACCTTTCTTTTTCTTACATATATTTTACCATCTTTACTCTGATTTACGTAATAGAAAGGATGTTGTATTCCTCTGGCGTCATTTAATATAATAGACTCTCGTTCTGATTTTGACAAGCTCATTTTACATCGGTTAAAGTTTTAATTTTGTTTTTTATCTGCAGTCAAATGACTCAGACAAGCCCTACGGACAAGACCCAAGGGTCATAGATGTTGAAGCATTGAAGAAAGAAATTCGTGAGCAAATTTTATCCGAACTGAAGGAACAAAAACAAGAACAAAAGCCAGAGAGACCAAAGAGAAAACTTAGTGAAAAACAACTTGCTGCATTAGCTGCTGGAAGACAAAAGAACCCACGTTTGCTGGCGAAGAAAGCTAGAGAAGAAGCAAAAGCAAAGGAAGAACAAAAAGCTAAAGAAGCTGAAGCAAAGAAAGAGTAAATGGTTTATTTTTATCCGAATTAAATGTATAGACAAATACCTTTAACTGTTGCGTTCAGTAGTGAAAACCCTGACGTCAAAATAAAGGGGAACAGAGTAACGTTTAAGTTTCCAACAGACTGGATTGTGAACATAAATGAAGAGAAGTACATTGGCATAACATCTATGTATATAACACGTGCTTTCAGAAAGGTTGACTTTATACTTCAAGTCGAGATAGAAAATGACGAACAGTCTTTAAGCGCCCAAAACATTCACATATACAAATACTTTAAAGACGATACAACATTGTTGCAATGTATGATTTCATTTAATGAGATGTTCGAGAAAAAGTTCAACATTGAAGTACAAACTTTACAGCCTTTACGTGAGTTTCTTGCACAACTGAAGGAAGAAGGTAGTCAGCCACAACTTATAGACTTTCATTATGAATTTAATGAAAATGAAGATGGAACTCATGACTGTCAATTCATTGTATTCTCACCATTCAATGAAGTCGCTAAAGAGAAAGAAAATCCATTACGTATAAGATTTCAAATCTCTGAACCAAGTGATGATTTCAAGAATGTTTCAATTATGATGCAATGCTTCCGAGGAAAAATGAATTTTCAAAGATTGTAACACCTGGCATTTGGGATAGAAAGCAAGCTATATTATATTCAAACTTAAGTAAGGGAGTTGAAAATGAGTTCATTGGTCATACAAGAACTTCACCACTTCCTAACCCTAAATACTATAAATTAACTGGCTTCAATCGTGAGTTTTGGATAGACATGTTCTCCACTCATGACCATAACTGCCCAGTGTTCTTACCTCCAGACCATAAGGACTGTCTCTACATTGAAGCACAACTCTTAAACTCTACCATCGCAGTATTGTAAAATCTACGCTAGCTTTATTTTTATCACGAATGACCTCATTGCTGACAAAAATAAATGACCTCATTCATGACCTCATTGCTGACCTCATTCATGACCTCATTGCTGACAAAAATAAATGACCTCAGAACTTCAACTTACGAATAAAGCTTGTTTTAGTCGTTATTGAGAAGTTAAACTTCTCTTCAAAGCAAGGTTGACATGACTTACATAAGTCAAATCCAATCTCTTGACCGTCATAAAGTGCTTTATAAAGTTTCATGACACTGAACTCAGAGTCTTTGTCAAATTTTCCTTGCGGAACCATTAAACCTTTATCTTCATTGTAATAGCATTGTATAGCTTCAGGAAACATTTCATTAGCGGTTAAAGCAATAACATCTTGCTTCACGCCTTTCATTCTGCAGTGAAATGCAACTTCATTTAAATCGTTAGTGAGTAAGTCTATGTAGTCTTCTTTCCACAAAATATTGACTTGTATGCTAAACTTTTTTCCAGGTGTTATTTCTGCGAAGTCGCTATGAAACTGACCAAGGTTTTTACCAATGAAACTCTTCCATAACGTTTCTCAAACTCTTCAGCTAAACGAGGGATATCTTCATTGTAGAGATGCATACTGTCGGTATCGCTATAAAAGATGTCCATTCCTAAGTCTTCAGCAGTACAGAATACTTCACACATTATTCTCTTCGACATAGATAGAATGTTAACACCAAGTGGACAGAAGTTAAAGTGTCTGCAAATGCTTTTCGTTAGCTTGAAAATAGTTTTATCTGAACCATCCAAACCTTCGAACTTCACTATATGGTTGTAATTTCTATAGCATATCTTATAGCATCTTTGTCATCTACTATGGTTATTTTTGACTCAATAGGAGATAAAATGTTTTGCCATAAATGCTGTTCAGAATGAGTTTTATAATTTCTTGTAATGGTTTTCTTCTTTCTTATACTTTAACCTTAACTCAAACAATTTCTTAACTTCATCTCTTATTCTCAAATCTCTGTTTCCATCGTAATAGTATCCTTGCAACACTTCACATTTGACACCTTGATATTTTATGAGGTCTTGTAATGTTATATGGTCAACATACATTAAACAGCAAGTGTTTGAACTTCTGGGAACGTTAAGTTCTGGATTTAGTTCAGGGTCACAAACTATTAAAGGAAAGTGTCTATGTATTCCAATCTCTGTTATCTTAATGAGAACAAAGAAGCCAGACATAAACTTTTCACCAATGGGTTCCTTTTGGTCGTCATCGAATAAATGTCTCATGAGATACTCTGTGCTTAGCATCTCATCCTTCATAACCTTTGGAATTCCTTCCAAAGTATAAAGTCTTGCTATAGCTGATGGATATAATGAAACAGCGTCGAAATCAGCAATGAGTTTCTTTTCGCTCTTTTGTTTCATGTTATCTGACAGCATACATCTTCCACCTTGAATGCATCTCGAAATAAATTCTCTTGGTTTATTTGAGAGGTCATAAAGATTTCCATTCGGGAAGTACACTCTGTTCTCAAATAATTTGTTAGCAATAGAACAAATACTAACGTAGTCATAAACGTTTAAATCAAACTCTTTCAATAAGTCATTGCGGAACTTTACAAAACCTTCTCTTAAAATTCTTACATCTTGTTTGCAGTAAAACGTGCTATATTTTTCTAAGTCGAAGTGGTTCTCATCTATTCTGCAACCTTTGATAGAATCTATGTTTTCATGAATGTATCGCATCCGGATAAACTTACACGCTTCAGAAATGACACCAGTTCTGTTGTCATTTGCTAACAAAGTACTGCTGTAGTAGTTGTATGGAAATACTTCTTTCGGTCCTGTTTGTAAGTTAAACATAGCAGGAAATAGTTTAAGCTTCTTATTTATAACACTGTAAGAGTCTTTTATAATAATTGCCCGTCCTTTATATAAGCCAGTTATTTGCATTGTTCGTGAACCTTTAATGATGGGAGTTCCTTTCACTTCTGTCATGTGTCTTAAGATGAAGTTTATATCATAACTGAGGTTATGGAAATATATTAAACTCTTGTCAGGAAGTCGCTCCAAAAATTCTGTTGCACAATTCTGACCCCAAATGCTTTCACTCACTGAACCATCTTCACTGTCAAAACAGATGTTAAAAGCTTTATGAAAGCCATCGGTACTGCACTCAAAGTCAGCAAAGAAAACGTGCTCAGGAATGAACTTGCACTTATTTTTATTTACTTCTTTTGACTCTGCTTTCTTCTTCAGTTGTACACAATACTTTGGAGCATATGTCAAATCTTTAAATGGTGCAAGGTTCTGTTTATATAAGTCAGTCGTATATGTGAAAAGTTCTCCATAAGAAATAGGTTCGAAATATTTGCACTCCCACAATGTTTTCATAACATCCCATAACGGTGTTGTTCTATC